GCCAGCAGCACTTTTAGATTGCACCCCAAAGCTATATATGCTGAAGACGAAGTTTGGAATGTGAGTTGGTAGGGCTGCTGAAAAGGATCATCACAAAAGCCGCAGGTGGGGCACTACTCACACACCCCAGCCATACAAAGCATCGGCATGTGCAGTCGCAGCAACAGCCTTGAAGTGGCACAAAGCCCTGCATTGATCGGGGACTTCGTTCCCCAGCTGCTTCATCAGCAAAGCCTCGAAGCCAACATGTTTACATACACGAACAACTTCAATGGTACTATAAGTTTAGAAAGGACCGTTACTTTAAGGTGTTGGGTTCAAGGCTTATATTTATATATGTATATAGGGCTTATCAGGGTTTCTCATACTTAGTCACCGCTTTGGGGTTAAAGTTTGTAGAGTATATATTGTACACGGCCGAGCAGCACAGTACTTCGCCAGCACCAAGTTCGTGCCAACACACACCGTCGGCCGGGAAAAGTAGACGAACTGCTGGAACACTTTCTGGCCCGGCTTCCTCCGCCTGACACCAATGGCCGATCGGCTCCAGTACTTCTCGAACTTCAGGAAGTCCACGGGCGAGCTGATGTCCTCGATGTGCTGGTGCTTCGTGTTGCAGTAGTACTCGTTGCACACCACCAAATTTTGCAAGATCTCATACTTCAGCGTGGCTCGCACGTGGTCCGGATCAGGCAGGTTCTGGTTGTGAACAGCACCCTCGAACACCAGGGGCTCGGGCTTTGTCGTGCTTGCCAACAGCTTCTCGGTCTTCTTCTTAGCACACGACAACATGTCCTTGGTCATCGGCTCAGCCTGGCACTTTCGCTTCTTCGTCTTCGGCACCGGGATCTCTTCATCTCCATCTTCATCCGGCGCACGAACGGCCTTTGCTTTCGCCTTCGCCTTGCCCTTTGGCGAAGCCTTTGCTTTGCCCTTGGCCTTGGCCTTAGCCGTAGCCTTCGCTTTCGCCTTGCCCTTTGGCGAAGCCTTTGCTTTGCCCTTCGCCTTGGCTCTGGGCTTCGGTGTGCCCTCCGACTCCTCGGGGTCGTCGTCGTGCTCCATCTCTTCGTCGTCCACCGTGACCTTGCGAGGTCGCCCGCCCTTCTTCTTCGGATTCGCCTTGGCTTTGGGCTTCGGTGTGCCCTCCGACTCCTGCGGCTCGTCCTGCTCCATGTCTTCGTCGTCCTCCAAAGGTCGCCCCCTACGGAGGCTTGATCCTTTCTCCACCGGACCCGTACTCCCCGAAGAGAGCAGCCCTTCATTGCCACGTCCTCCACGACCGCGACCACGGCCTCTTCCCCGGCCTCGCTGGCCTTTCAGGGAATCCTTCACACCGAACTGGTCCCGTCTCGTCACAGGTTCGTGCTCCGGCACCACAGGAAACTCATCCTGCGGACCAGCAGACATGTCCTGCATGGGCATACAATGTATATACCGATACAAACCTCGAAACCCTTTCCCCACAAGCTACTCGATCTTTGAATCCACCCCTAGCCTATAAGCCCAAACCCTTGAAGGCCCGAACCATTATATGGAAACTTTTGAAACCAAAAAACATCGCGAGGATTGCTGGCTGCGGGAACTTCTGGCATCTCGGCAGTAGCAGCCTGGTTTGTAGCAGTAGCAGCCACGTTTGTAGAAGAGCTCAGCACACCAGCAGCCTCGATTGTAGAAGGGCTTGGCAGAGCAGCAGCCTCGATTGTAGAAGGGCTCGGCAGAGCAGCAGCCTCGATTGTAGAAGGGCTCGGCAGAGCAGCAGCCTCGATTGTAGAAGGGCTCGGCAGAGCAGCAGGCTCGCTTGTAGAAGTGATCGGCAAAGGAAGAGGAGTCGAACCTTGAGCAGTTGTCAGCTGATAGTTCGTCAGGATTGGCGAGTTTTGGTACAAGGGTGGGGACAAGAATATACATATTGATCTGAAAGGTCACCACACATCTCGACCGGTCTTCGCTTACAAAAACCTATAACCAATGCAACCCAGGAGCCGTGCTGCGGACTGGCCTGCACAACCATTGTCTGCGACAGCTTCGTGGCCTCGTTCCTGGGTCTGGGGTTCTTTTCTTCTTTAAAGCTTGTACTTAGAGGGCTTTAGAGGGTTATGGGGTTTAGGGTTAGGGGTGCCTTCCTTCTCCATAAATCTGAAGAAAGCTTGTCATGTATACCCTATATAGAAGTTTATAATCTCTCATCCGGGTCCCCGCAAAACTATTCCGAACAAGGTTCCCGAGATGGGTCTTAAGCTGGGGTTCGTGGCCTATATATGTAATGACCATTGTATAATGCAGATGAGTATCTTCGCAGTAGCCAGGAGACCCTGCAAGACACCAGCCAACTGTGCAACCGTACTTTGGTTGAGTCGCACGGCCTCCTCGTCAGATGACAAGATCTCGTCAGGATCGTAGCCAACCTCGCGACGTGCTTTTGGAAGCTTCGGGCTGTTGTAGGGTTTATAGGGGCTTATAGGGGCCAACTTAGGGGCTTATGTAGGGTCTTTGAACGGGTTTATAGGGTTATAAGGGTCAGCGGAAGATTTTACACACCACCCCACAGCAGAACTCAACCTTGAAGCCTATATGCACGAAACGTAGCTGAGGCTGCCTGGACATCAGCAGCACTGCCCGGCATGCTGCTGGTAGAAAGCTCCAAGGAGTCCTGGCGAGAAAAGGTTTTCAAGTCGATCGGGAATTGCATTGGAGACCTTAAATGACATGATTCCAAGAATCTGCTATCGTGCATCAATTGTTACTTCGGGGCTCCTCCGGGGCTGTGTGCTCCACAACTCGAGTCTCTGCGTGAGCTTCGGCGATTGCTTGCAGAACTGGAGTCTCTGCGGGTGCTTTGGCGATTGCTTCTGGAACTGGAGTCTCTGCGGGTGCTTCGGCGATTGCTTCCAGAATTGGAGTCTCAAACGATGCTTCGGCGATTGCTTCCATCATGACTTGAGTCTCCAAGGGTGCTTCGGGGCCTTCGGGAGGATCTGCCACAATTTGAGTGTCTGCGAACATGGATGCTCCGGGACCATCCATAATTGCAGTCTCTGCAGCGGAAGTTTCGCCAGCTTCCGAAACCTGGGTGTCTGCAACGAACTTCAGGTCGTCGAGCCCGGCACCACCTGCATCCTGCAAATGATCACTGCTTGTATGGATGCCCCCGACCCTATACTATATATATTCACATTCCCCAATATGATACAATATAGAAAATTCGAAACAACGACCAATGTCCTCGTTAACCAAAGCAGCTGCCGAAGCCCCGCAGGCCATATCCTGAACAGGCTATATTGAAAGGGATCCTCGAATCTATGTTGCTTTCATGGGTCGGGGCTTGGGGCTGCAGGTTTTTAAGCGAACGAACAAGACCTGCCTCTTCGCCGGACAACAAGCCCAAGTCGAGGAGCAGCTGCCGGCACACTGGATCCTGGAGCAAAGAGGAGGGTCAATCGTGGGTTTGGGGTTTGGGGTTTGGGGGTTGAAGTCTTGGATTCTATAATCTTGAAAATGCTGCTATTATATGCAAGATTTTGTGACTACCACGGTCCTGTCTCCAAGAGGACTTCGAAGAGTTCTTCTTCAAGAGAACTATAAGGTGGCGAATGGCCCAAGCTTGATCATAGGTGGTTTGCCCACTCAGCTTTGCTGTTGTGTCGGCGAGTAGTCGTGACACTTGTTCAGCAAGCCGGTCTATGGTCGGAAGTGCACCCTGGGTTGCGATAAAGGTAAGAACAGGTCGTAACACAATAGCATTCTCCCGCACATTGAAGATATTCGTCTTCACATTCGAGTCGAAAGCCTGCTTAAGCTTTGAGCAATAGTGCCGAAGCAAGTTGTGTCGCGACCGCAATCTCAGTCTAATCTCCAAAGTGTTGTCCCAAGAAACGGCAAGCCCATCCAAGGAGTAATCTCGAACCTTAGGCCCTCCCTGCTTCTTGTCCTCGATTGATCCTGCAGCCGGAAGGTCCATGGCTGCTGCAAGCCACACACAAAACACAAAATCTGCTCTCGATCCCTCTCGAAAGCAAAAAGCGCCTGCGAAGGACAGGATGTTGCTGCGGCTGATGGCAGTAGTTAGTGACCCCGAAACTGCATGCCCATTCAAGTTGAAGCAGACAGCAGATGCCGATTGATGTAATCCACATAAACTTGCCAGCCCCACCTCGTAAGCCGTGTACAGCACAGCCAGAGCCATTCGAGTCAAAAGACTCCGATTCGAACTTTTGTCGGGCTTTCGGGTTTATGTATATAGGGTTTGTGTATATATATATATATGTATAGGGTTTAGGGTGCAGTTCATCGGAGTCAAGATCAGAGTTTTGTAGAGGTTCGGCGCCTTTACCGGGGTTTAGGGCTTACGGGATTTATGTATATATGGTACCATACATATATATATATATATATATATAGATAGGGTTTATTTTCTCTGGCTTCTACACAGGGTTTATGTATATAGGGTTTAAGGGACTTTCTCGGAGTCCGGATCACAATTAGGCCTAAAATTAGGCTTCTCTGCTGGATTTGGAATCGGCTACTCGCACTACAAGGCTGGGTTTAGGGCTACGGGTTTTTTACGATTTTGCAGGAGTTTCGAGGGCTCTGGGGTAGATTGACGAAGAAGCAGCTGCCGAGCATTCACAAACAATCACCAGAAACCCCGGAATACCCCCGAACGGCCCCGAACGCCCTCGAACGCCCTCGAACGCCAAAACAGGGGGTTGGACGTAAATAAGAGTTCGGGAGCTGTGGTTCGTGCAGAACTGAGGATCCCACGGGTATTTAACGCATTAGAGGCTTAGCAGGTAGTATCCCCATAATAGAACCCAATATGGGAGTTTCCGAAAGCCAGGGGTATCCTATTTGGGGGTCCTTATAATAAGGATCCTACTATTTCAGGGTACTATATTAGGGTCCCCTATTTTCGGAAACCCCCATATATACACTCACCAATATTCAAAAGGAGCCCGATCTACACTCGCCAAAACGGTAATTTTAACCCTACTTCATGTGGCCTTGTCGGCAAAGTTGGACTGTGGCCAGGGCTGCTGCGGGACCGCTGCAGCCTCTACGGATCGCAGGGGCAGGCGATACTTCCTTTTGGGGCTGTAGGTAGACCCCAAAACCTGCACCCCAAACCCGCAGAACTTGAAACCTGTGCCCAGAAACCGTGAACCCAAATCCTGAACCTCATCTAAAGCGCCTATAGGACCTATGTAGTAGAAAGTAGTTCTACATTCTACAGTAGGAATCCAGGATTAGAGGTTGGGTTACCAAAGCCTCAAGCCTCAGCCGTGAACCTTAGGCTGCCCAACCCTTCATACGGAACGCTGAACGTTAACTCCCAAACCTTGAAAGCTTGAACATTAACTCACATACCCGACACCCCGAACGCAGACCTCCCTCCACCACCTCCGATATGGAAGCCACAGGGATTGGTCACTCTACGGCGTGGAAATGCGATGGCAAGTCACCCAAGCCCATACACCCCGGTAAATCAACAAAATGAATTGAACGGGGGGACCTAGCCAAATGGCACAGAATTAAGGTACCCCAAATTTTCGGAAACGCCCATATGAAAATGAAACTATTGAGCCGTCAGAGGCCTGGCCCATGGCCGCTGAAGGATGGGAGCGACTGCGAGCTTCCTGACGAAGAGCGACTACCCATAGGCCCCATGCGGTTGATGATAGAAATCCTGCATTACCCATTATGAGGAATAAACCATAATTCCCATAGCTTAGGGTCCTTAAGGTAGTGCAGGATTTATATCATCAACAGTAGGCCGAGTAGTTCCTTTTTGGGATTACCTTAGAGGATTATATACGTGAACCACGAAAAGGAACCACTTTGGGGCCTATGATTAAGGGCTTAAAGTTGCGTATTTGGGAGAGACGGCTTAAGGACTAGGACCGTTTAGGATTCATGGAGTGGGTTTTAGGTGGGGGGGGTCTATCAGAGGGGTTAGCGCCTGATGCCTGCAGGGCTTCGATGAATCAGGTGGTCCTCCTGTGCCTGAAATTAATGGAGTTTTTCCATCAAGCCCGTTGAGGGTGCAGGGGCTGAGGTTTTAGTAAATCGACTCAACCCTACATCCTAAAGCCAATTAGAGCAGCCCCATACTTCCTGAACGCACAGTTACTTGGCCAGCGTCCCTTGATAAGTACAAGTTAAACTTTTTGGGCTACTTTGCATGCTACCCCAAAAACGTTACAGGTTACCTGCTCAGCAACCCTAACACCTTCAATCACACACCACACACAAACACACACACACACACACACACACACCGTGGATGGAAGCCTGAACCCTAGACATCGAGCGTTAACTGAGAAAGAGGCCGACGGAGACTGGGCGGCCATGGAGGCACCTCTCGCAAGGCGGAGCTTGGGGGAGCCTCAAGGTATTTAATCTCACGGATTACAGGACTCTTGCAGTTTCTTCAGAGTTGTCAATGTTGCACGTCATATACTCCCTGATTTTGATGAACCCTGATGACCCATATGCCCCCATCTGGCGCGAAGTACGTCGTAGATTCCTTCGCCAGATGAAGCCCCCAGGCTCCTCACCTTCGAACGATGACATTCCCAAATCCGTATCCCGCTACCAAAGATCTAAAGTCGTTAAGCCGCATTGCGCGCCTGTCGCCTCACAGTTTAATGATTACTTGGTCCCCTCACTTGCTGCTGGAGTCCGAGCCATCGAGCTTGCTAACGCCCCCCCCACCCCCCCCCCAGATGGAACTACATTTTACTCGGAGAGCACCAGTATAGCCCAAACCCAAGCACCAAAACCCTAAGACACTGTGGCAAATGAAGAAACTTCACTTCACTGTTGACGGAGCCTTTTATTCCCGGAGGCCATGTACTATAATGAGTACGGTAGGGTTTTTTCGGTTCTTGGGCTTTGAGGCTTCTTCACTCAGATGCTTGACGCTTGTACAAGCTAGCTGCGCTCCTCCTGGGCTTAGCCCCACCCAGTCACGCCAAGGCGAAATTGCATTCACAGGCACGTCGACATCTCTTGTGCCTCTCGCAATGTCTCGTGCTGCGTGTTGAATCGCCGTCATGCTATTGAAGCCGTCCCTGTACTTGTCAACTGCCAGGTAGTCAGTCACCGCTTCCCTGACATGCTTTGGAGCTTTGTTCGCCCATTCATACTTGACAGACTTACGCCGGCGCTCATCGCGCGTGCTGCGATCTTGGAGCCAATTATCGCAGGATTGCTCGCGCTGCGACCGCTGAACATGTTCGCTTGCTGCGCCCCCTAGGACAGCTCCTGAACCCACGAGATGCAGCCTTCAGCGCTCCGTCGAAGCTCCAGCAACTCATAGTGCCTTAAACCATAAACCTTAAGCCTTTAACCCTAAATCCTAAACCGCAAACCCTAAATCCTAAGTCCCAAACGCTATAAATCCTAAACCCGAAAAAATAGAGCATTGAAGCACGCCAGGCCTTGCATCCTCGCAGTCTCTACAGTGCCAGCCCCGCAACTGCCAATGGCCCAGCCCGACCAGGTCCATGTGGGTAGTTATCAAAATTAGGGTCCCTTGATTACTATACCCCCTTAGAACCATGATCAAAATAATTCCTAAGGAGACTATAGACTATGTATACCCCTAAGGCCCCACAGTAGTTCCTTTTTGATTTTGGAGGTTCGGATATAGAATCCTATAAGGTAACCCCCAAAAGGAACTACTTTGGGGCCTCTGGGTACGTCCCCCAAACCCACAATGTTTGTGTTGACCTTAGACACCATGTAGAGAGTGCGCATATACAGGATCAATCTGGAATTAGCTGCCCAGAACCGCAAGAACGATTGTCTTTCGGGACCCACTTCCATAGTGTTCATATACATGGACCCTGTGGGTAATATCCCTGAAACACAACCGTAACAACCTGACGGCCGTGGTGACTTCAGCCATCGCAAGCACTCTACATTCTTAACCCCCAAACCCCACACCTCAAGCCTCAAATTCCAACCCTAAAAGAATAGAAACCTACTTCCCCGGCAGCCTTTCGTCGCAAGGATCATGACCGACAGAGGGGGCCGTAAACGCCCGGAAAAGAATCCATGACTACCGGGCTACCCGCTGAACATCGGAAGAACACCTACGGAACCCTATAATTACCAAAACCCTCCACCCAAAGCCGTAAGCCGTAAGCTCCTAAACCACATATAGACCCCTCAACAAATCTAAACGAAACGCACTTTGTACTATACTCATAATAGTATATATAGCCTTTATAATACTGACCACGACCTAATACACCGTAAGCCCTGAACAGGGTGGGGGCAGTACCCAATCTCAAGCTTCTAAGGATCTGACCACTCCCTCGTTCGGGCGCCGGTTGCCGCAAGGAGTCGTCCCGTAGCCTCAACGATTGCAGTTGTGCTTGGCGTTCTTCCTTGCTTGGGTTTGTGTGTGTGTGTATATATATATATATATATATGAACACATGTATATAAACGCGACATGAAAGATGAGGTCGTCGATAGAGTCAGGTGTTCGAGGCTTACGCTTTACTCTTAGTGCTTGCCGCCATATACGACCGCGGTATCCGTCCTGTCAGCCGCAAACTCACAAATCCTCGACGCCCCAAATGAAGGGAACAGGATCCTTCCACCTATCCACCGTTTACAATGACATGAAAAAGCAAAGCCCTAAAGCCCCAAACCTAAAACTCCAAGACAAAAAAAACAAAACTTGAAACGCCCATCAACCCCTAAACCCTCTAAACCCTCAAACCCTAAACTACCCTAAACTGCAAACCCCATGAACCGACCATGTCGACTCGGCCGAGGGTCATCTGTCGCAGCTGCGTTACGATGTCCACGAAGGTTGGCCTGAACTGAGCCTGCCAAACCGCAGGACTTCGCTTGTGGGGCTCCCTTGAAGGGTTCCTCTAAGGGTTCTAAGGGTTTGGGCGGTTGGGTTTAGGATATTACACTTTCGGATTTCCTTGAAGGGTTCATCTAAGGGTTTAGGGTTTGGGCGGTTGGGTTTAGGATGTTACACTTTCGGGTTCCCTTGAAGGGTTTCTGCACAGGTTCCATGAAGGGGACTACAGTCTCAAGGGTCTCGGGTTGGGGGGGGGGGGGCGGTATGGCTTCAGAGCTTCGGGATTTTTGGGTGTTGGGGGCTAAGATAACAATATGCTTCTTTAATTGGTGCATATACTGTCAAGGGTTCAGGTGCAAGAAGGGTCATAGGGGTCATGCGTTGGGGATTTGGTATACACGCTTGTCGGGACAATTATACCTCTTGTATGGAGCATGTGCGATGAACGCTGGGTCTTTGAGGGATTGTATTCGCGCTTAATTGAAATTCACGCTTAGGGCTTCAAAGATGTAGGATCCGCTGATTCTGCGGAACCGTTCACATTGATTTGGACGTCCGAATCTTCGGCTATGAATGTTAGATGGCGGGTCGGGTCTTGCGGGGGAATGGACGGTCGCAGTCCTACTGCTGTTTCAGGGATGAATCAAGAGGGTGCCTCCCCTGGGCCTTGGTCCCTTTTGTTCAGGGACGCAAATTCACATGTCAATCCTGCCTGCGACCACCCAACAAGACCATTTATCGACCAAACGCCCACTATAGGCCTATCTACTGTAGGGGCACAGTTAACATGTCTACGCCGGGCTCCACTAGAAAATGAAGCTCCCAAACAAGAGCCGCATGTGGCCTGCTCGCAAGCACACTGTAGTGCTAGCCGGCCCACATGCTCTGCCAGCATCGGGGGCCACTGCCCTCGCGGATCCACCTCGCACTGCACTTTCTCTCTGGCTTCGGGGCGGGCTTGAGGGCTCAAGGGGGTGGTAAGAAGCGACAGCCGGTGGGAGTTATAGTTGGAGCTATATAAACCTTCAAAGGAGTCATAGTGGGAGTTGTAGATCTTCTTGCATTACATCATTTAAGCTTGAGTTGCAGGGTCCAGGTGAGTCCAGGGTTCAGGGGTCTGCACCGAGACAGCGGCGCATCGCAGCACTCGAAATCTTATCCGAACCCCAAGAACTTGGAGGATGATGGGACTAAGTAAGCAGGGTTATAACTAGCCCTATGCGAGGGTTACGAGTAAGCTTTAAGTTAAAAAGATAACGCTTATATATATATATATATATATACACGAGGGTTACAAGTAAGTTTTAAGTTAGTAAGATATTGCAAATATAACTAAGTCGAGTGACCCTACACCGTAAACCGCACTCACCAAACCCCAAACCAGGAAACTCCATAACCTTCTCCCGAACTCGAAAGCCACTGAGGCCTTACTGAAAGCCCAATCTTCCAACACTTGAACTCCTACGGTTGATGATATAATGCCTGCATTACCTTAATGACCCTAAACTATGGGAATTATGGTATATTCCTTATTATGGGTGATGCAGGATTCATATCATCAACCGTAAGACTCGAAACAGTGAACATCGAGTGTGTTCCAACTCAGGGATTAGGGTTAAGGGGAACCCTGATGCCTGAACTCTAAACCCTCCACTGAACTTGCTTAAAACGCTTGGGGTGGCCGACCATCGCCATGAGCTTTGGAATGTCTCCGTTCAAGTGCGAGAACCTTCGGAGAGCGACGTCAGGTCGGGCTTGTTTTAAGGGTTGTTGGGAAGTAGTTACTAAGTTCCATGACCCTTTAAGAACACGATGGGCACCTGAAATGTACCGACGACCCATGAAGGAGAGAACATCATCTCTGAGCACTGCGGACAGCCAACGCCGAAACACTACACCAAGAAATGGCAACGTCTTTTCAACGACTCTAGGACTCTATACAGCCCATACAGCTTCAACCCTATGAAACCCCACGCAAGCCCGTTAAACACTGTCAATGCTTGGAACAGAAGGCTCAGCAGTAAACGACGCTGGTAGAACATACAAGACAACTGAGGAATAATTGCATACCCATAGGCCCCAAAGTGGTTCCGTTTTGTGGTTTATCTATAGAACCCTATAAGGTTACTCCCAAAAAGGAACTACTATGGGGCCTATGACAAGTTTCTTCCTATCAAAACCGCAATCCGAGCGACTGACCATAAGCCCTAAATCCTAAACCCCTAAACCCTAAAGCCCTAAAGCCCTAAACCCCTAAGCCCTAAATCCTAAACCCCTAAACCCTAAACCCCTAAACCCTAAACCCCTAACCCTAAACCCCTAAACCCTAAACCCCTAAACCCCTAAGCCCTTAAATCCTAGTAAAACCGCAGTCCGAGCGACTGATACTCAATGTGGCCATTGGGATGTTGCAGCGCGGGGGGGCGGCCCGTGAGGACCTGGTGTCTCACGGCGATGCTGGGGTTTGGGGGTTTTAGGGTTTAGGGCTTTAGGGGTTTTAGGGTTTCGGGGTTAAGGGGTTTGGGTTTATAGGGTTTAGGGTTTAGGGGTTTAGAGAACATAACTGAAGATACCACAAGTTAAGGATGTTGAATTAAGAATGATTGCTAAGGGGAGCCTGCTGTAAGATGCCATAAGCTGCGGCCTGCAATGAGAATATTACTACCACCTGTACTACTACTGCTAGTTGATGTCAGTACAAAGTACCGCTACTGTTCGTATTACTGTGAAAGATGTAGCTGTAAGCAAAACTGCATGTAATCAATACGGCAAGCATATTCGCAGGCATTTTATTCTTTCTATTTAAGCAACTTACTCTACTCATATTATGCGGCTAGTGGCAGTACCAGAAACCTACTATACAAATCTGCAAGGGTACGGACAGGAATAAGACTAAGTGTAAGCAGATAGAAAGATAGGCCAGATGGGTGGAAAGATTGATGCATTGATAGGTAGACAGACACTGTGGCTTGTGGAACAAACTCTCATAACGAGTGCCTGGTCGGTTTTGAGCTCAGAGAGCCTTAGTCCCTTGGGTTTCGGACCAGGGTGTAGGGGGTTAGGGTTACATAGCAGTCATAGTTGGCTCTGTATTTCCTTCACAATGATGCTTGGCCCTTGCTGAATTGAATATGTATTCGCAGAGTCTCGGGCAGTCTTGTTGTCTAATTCTACAGCGCCGATAACAGGATCTTGTGTCAAAAACTAATCAGAGTATAAGATCCTCCAACAATCACCCTGGGTTCTCAACCATGCCCGTGACTTGGATGAAGATGGGAGTCAAGATAACTCGTCTGATTCTCAACATGGCTGGTTATCAAAATCATGGTCCCTTTTTGGGTACCCTAAATATTAGGTGCCGTATTATAATAGGGACCCTCAAAAGGGACCCTAATTTTGACAACCACCCACATGGCATCCACAACGCCCAGGACCAATGCCGACAGTTTGTGGCTGAGAACCTCAAAGAAGCTGACAATGCATTTACGAAACCCGTATAGGCTTTAGGGTTTAGGGTATAGGGTTTAGGGTTTAGGTTATGATACTCAGAATATCCTCGTGAAGCCCTTGTACTATCCCAAAATATACTTTCACCTTGCTAAACTCAGAAAATGCCTTCGTAAGAGTCTTAGGTAGACATCTTGTGGACTTCATGTGCATAACTCCTTAACACCAAAAAGTTAAGTCATTGATCTCTTAGCCCTTGATCAGAAATCCCTAAACACTAAGTCTTCAAACAACCCTAGACCCTAATCCTAAGATTCAAAACACAAAAAACGCAAAGCCTCAACAATCGGTCCCCAAGCTATGAACCCTAAGCCCTTGAACCCCAAAGATCAGAGCTATGAACCCCAAGCCCTTAAACCCCAAAGATCAGAGCTATGAACCCCAAGCCCTTAAACCTCCAAGATCAGAGCGCCTCTAAGAGCACCATTCCCAGTGAATAGACTTCAGACTTCTCGGTGACGACGCCTGCAGCCGAACTACCCCCGGGGCTTTGGGGGTTCAGAGCTCTGAGGGCTTTTTATGGTTTTAGGGGTCTAGGGTTTAGAGGTTAGGGCTTAGGCCGCGGTCCAATGACTCCGAAACCCACCAGTTAATCAATCACAATATACCCTGGCTGGTACTATTCTGAGGCGACATCGACGATGTCATTGTAAGGATACGTGAAATTATGTTTTTGATGAGTTACATCCTTCATAGAAAAATTCATAGCTCTATCAGCGCTGTCTTGTTGCGGGCCCTACGCATTCAGTTGTGTCCGGATTAGCCGTAGTTTAGCGCTCGAGTTGGCGACAACTCCTTTCATCTTACGTAAGGTTAGGAGTTCGGTGAAAGTGCAGTCCGTAGCCAACTACAAGCCTCTATACCCCAAGTGGACACGAATGCTACGGAACCTGAACTTGGAGTCTCCAGCGCAGACTATGCCAGCAGATAAGCACAGAACAGCAGCAGAGCATGCAATCGCAGGCAGTCTCTTGAAGGTCTCCAAAGAGGAGCTTCCAGAATGACCACTACCAAATGTGATCCAGACTGATGCACCTGCTAGTCTGTACGAATCTCGTCCTTACCACTGCTCGTCACTTCGCACGGAGCTTGGCGACAATACCCCTTAGAGGTCCGTAAGCCTTTGGCAAGACACATCTTGAATCTTACGATTGAGAACTGACGCTACGCTGCGCGGCTTTTCAAGAGATCCTAAGCATAATCATTTTGGGGTTCTGGTTTAGGAATACAGGAGTATAGGATGTTGACTTCAAAAGATTTTGGGATGTGACGTGTAGAAGAAATCTAAGCCTCAAAACGCTCTGAAAGCAAACTCGTGAACACTGCAGTAGTCACCGCCACCATGGCGAGATGACCATGGAGATCCTAAGATTAAGGCCCTTCAAGTGAGGGAGTTACTTAATCATGGTCTGCATCACATCGCAAGTGAGATGTAGGTTAGTTGCGCACCCGTCAGGTGCGAGAACATATGATGCTAGGTCTCACATTGTTGGCCAGCATCTGCCCGTACAAATACCAAGCCGCTGCTGGCGCAACTGCTTTGCGGCAACTCTGCAAAGCTTGGCTCCAGTCGGCCCTGTTCAGCTGCTTACCCCGTTCACGCATCATGTCCTGGAGTGAAGCTGCCATTTGTACGTCTCCGGTCCGAGCCACGGCATCTAGCATGCAACGAGCGACGCGCACAGCCGTGGCATTGCCGTGCCACACAGTCGAATTTTGCACCTCGTCCCAAAGGCTCAAAGCACGACGACTCTGCCCAAGGCGACCACGAAGGCGTATGGCAGCTCCATAGCTGACTTCACTCAGGCTGCCTCCGCTTTTGCGGTGCCTGTCGAAAAGCGACAATCCTGCCTCATACTTCCCACACTTTACTGAAGCAAGGAGCGCCGCATCAATAATCGGAGTTGCAACATGTCCGAAGTTCAGACTGTGCAGCTGTCCAATTCCTTGCATAGCCAGCATCCTTGATTCGCTGCCTAATCTTCACATCGAATGCCGAGAGCTGCTCGACTTCGGCCGCGATATCGGGAAGAGGCAGGTGCATGTGCAGACCCTGCCGTTCACGATGCCGCATAAGGTGCGTCCGTGAGACTGTCGCAAACAGAAGGCCTGATTGCCACATCCATGTGACAACCAGGACAAACAGGATCCAACGGAAATTTCGGCGAGTGGCTGGCATCTTCGCGTGCAACTAGCTGCCAGTCTCAAAGCCAAGTTGGCTCAGTGACGTCACATGCCCTGAAATTTCCCATGTAAAACTGATGATCACAACAACTTTTCAACTATTGCTCAACAGCTTATCTGTACTGAACTTACAACCCTGGCAAAAATTATCATCTTAGCTGTTTCTTACGGACAATATTGACTAAAAATTAAAAATATTTCTAAGTACCCCTAAGTTACGGGTTCGGGCTGGACCTTCGGGCCGCCTTCGCTTCTCTTCTCCAAAGCATCAAGCACACAACTTTTGCAAAGGGTTTAGGGTTTAGGGCAGTGGTTCGGCGGCATTTGAAGAAACTCATTTGCCGAAGATTCTAAGATAATTAGGACCGGACAATTTACAATTCTTTCGGCAGCAAGGCTTTGCAGAGAAAGTTAGAAAACAAAAACAAGCACATAGGAGTCGTGTCAGGAGGCGTTCAACGCATAGAGCTCAAATGAAGGCTCCAAACACGCCCGAAAGGTCCGAACTCCGGGTTGAAACCTCAGCCCATCAGCGGCCTTCGCGAATGTACAGCGGATCGGCATAGCCCAAAGTCCCAGAAGTCTCCCGCACCTGCAGTTGCTGAACTGTCGCTGAAACGGCTTGATCTTGGGGGTTTAGGGCTTACCCAAAGGGTCCAAAGTACCTATATACAAAAATATATATATATATATATATATATATACACACACACACTAGAATGTGGGGTTTCTATATTTAAATATTAGGAATTCCTTTTATGATTTGGGCAAGTATCCCCCCTAACAGTACCTAGGACCCTTGAGGTTAGGAGGGTGTCCCGTCACTGGGGCCATGCATCCGGGCCATGGCTTTTGAACTAAGAAGGTTAGTATAGGGGCCTTCCTAATCAGAATAGGGTTTTTGGGGTGTATTCTGGTATATGATTGAGTATTCAGGTTCCTATACCAATATTATCCGAAACTAACGGTAAACCCTGCCAACTCCTGAGCCACGGGTCCTTTATTGACAAAAGGTCATGATCCAAGGAAAATATGGGGTTCTGCCCCCACCGCCTTTACCACCGAACCCCACATCCCGAACCGTGTAAACCCCAAACCCGAACAGTGTGCCTTAAAGACTTTAGATCCTAGACCCAAACTCTACGTCGCCCAAACTCGATGTTCTAAAGCCTCTTCAGAGCCGCTCAACGAGAGATCCTAGATGCCGCACAATTTCCATCCTCAGACCCAAACCCAAATCCTAATAAACACGCTAAGCCTAAACCCTCAGTTGTGAACCTCACCGACTCTAAAGCCCCCAAATCCCAAACTCGACAGTATGCCTAAGTCTTATGTCCTATTCCCGGTGACATCGTCTAAACCATAGCAACAAGGGCAACCGCCCTCTAAATCCTCACCGCCTAAACCATCAAAACTCCAAACCCCAACCCTAAACCCCCTAAACCCTGACAACCCCTCAACCCCCGTATATAAACCCTCTCAAGCCCCTTAAACCTCAAAACCCAACACCCCAACCCAAAACACTCAAAACCCCACACCCCGCAAACCCTCTCAGCCCTTTTTTTTTGGTGGAGCACCCGAAGTGACCGCTGGTTCGGCTCGGCTAAGCAGGCCAAGCCGAAGTCGGCGACCTTCCATTCAAAGGGAAAGGAGCCACGCTTTAGGGTTTAGGGGTTTAGGGTTTAAGGCTTAGTGTTTAGGGTTTTAGGGTTTAGGGTTTTAGGGTTTAGGGCAGGATATCAATTTAGGGCTCTTTCAGGGCTCTTAAAAGGGATCTATAGGGGATCTATATGGGGATCTGTAAGGGCATCTGTATGTTCAAAGGGGACAGCGGGCAACTGCAGGGTATGTTTGGGGCTTATAGGGTTCAGGAGAACGAGTCATGTACGGTAGAATTTCTTTATGAACTTGGGTTCGAGAATGCTTTCTACAGGCTTTCGATGACATCAGCTAAATTACAGCGGATTCTAGGGTTTTTCTGAAGTTTTAGTGTGACCTTTTACAGGGTTTGGGGGGGCCTGATGAGGTTTTGGGATGCAAGGGCTTCGGAGCTTCGCGGCTCCTGCTGGTCATGGGCGGGGTTGAGATATTGGGAGCTGTGGAATGTAGAGAAACCTAAAACCTAAACCCCTAAACCCTAAACCCCTAAACCCCTAAACCCTAAATCCTATGATCTCGTTGCGTGCCTTTGTGGCTTTCTCGTTGTTCGAAGTTCAAAGGACTTCAGGAATTTGGGGCTGGGATGCTATGTCCTTGTTCTAGTCCTGCCGTTGCCAGCTTTAGGCTCCGGGGTGAAGACTGCTGTAGAAGCCTTAATAATTTAAATGGGGCTTTGGTGCCATTTTACTATAAATGCAATAAGGACCCCCCGAAAAAAAGAAGTATAGTTAATCATTTAATTACGCCCTTTAGTACTATGATACGTAAATGCTACCTGGTAGCTTATAATTTATACGGCTTTCACTACTCCGGGCTTCTCTCTTTGGGGTTGCGTACCCTACACCTAAACTAAACCATAAACTTCCGCTACCTGCTGTTCGTTGCTTCTCCAGCTGGCCCTGGGCCGAACGGCCGCTACAATCCGGCTTGATGGTCAGAGTTCAGGAAACGATTTACGTTTTTGTTTTTGTTCGGAGGGGCCGATTGGTAACCTATCGATATGAATATGCAACAACAAAAGTGGCTGGTGCGCCTGCTGACATGTTCTTCTGCAGCTGCGGTGCTGATCTCATCACCCTCACCCTAAACCATTCAAGCCTAAACCCTGAGCCTTTCACCAGAAACCCTCATCAAACCCGGAAACCCTGAATTTCTACATGCGAAAGCCGTAGAAGCACAGAAGCCAAGGACACGGAGCCCCAACAACTTCCAAGTCCGGAACTATATGCTTCACATTGTAATTGTATATGCCCCAATAACGCCGAAGATCGCACAGGCATGCTCTATAGGGACCTTGAACTTGAATCAGGGTTCGGTGCACTGTCGTGCAAAATAGGGTTCTCTGTCTTATCTTAAGGCGTAACAATTGCGTGGGGGCGATGGTGAAGGTATACACTTACTTACTACTGATGCGCTCTACAGTAAGGCCCCTGTATGCGACCTTGCCCGTACCGTTCTTGTCCATGAGCATGTTCTGCGTCTTGACATCCTGAGTCCGAATACTAAGGGTAGGCTGAGGGGAAACTGGGGGCAGGAGGGTGGGGCAGCTCTGTATAAAGCAATATTGGAGCCTTGATGATTTAATTAACATTTCGTATGAAAATGATGGAGCCTTGATGATTTCAACATTTCGTAGTGAGTCAAGCTAGAACAAGAACTCTTCGGCATCGTCGAGGTAGGTCATTCTTCGGTCTTCTCTATTGACCGCGCTTTCACGGTTCAGGGTTTCCGGTTGTCCTGAAGTAGAAGATTCTTTGCTCCCAGCAAATTAAGGTGAAGAGTGTGTGCATCGACAGGGAAGCCGAGTCTGCCTCAAGTTGAAATGTCGAACCCAGAAGCCGAAGTCAAGGAAAACCGAAGCAGCAGAAAGGAGTTTGGGTCTTCATACCGATAGTGTAGTTATGAAGGCTTCCCGCAAACCCAAACTCGGAACACAAACTATACAGATTCAGACCTTATCTTGCCGGGAAGCCCTTCAACCCCAACTTTGAACTGCAAACATCTACCCTTGCCTTGGCTAGCCGGCTAACCTCAAAAACGCTACCATGTCAGAACATACACTATCTTGTAGAAATCCTACTACAAAACCATAAACCGAAACTTTGTAGGTCAGTTCTCGTGGACCCTCCATCTACTCTCCAAGCTACCCACTGTTTGGGACTATATACTCCGGTTTGAGGGTACAAGGAAAGTCCTGGCTGGAAAGAACCCTCACATCTCAGGACATACACAGTTGTGTCGGCATCAGACAAAGGGACCATGATTCGAAACTCTGAAATTAGGTCTCTTCTGGCTCCTCTAGCTTAGGGCTTCGGGTCCTCTTACCTTTGGCTAGTAGGGAATGGAGGAATAGGGTACAATTGTAACTACTATTGTACTATATACCATTCTTCCATTCCCTACTGACCAAAGGGAAGGTTTGGGGCTTCCGGTCCTCCGCTCAACCCGACGACCCCTGCGTAAATTTGGGGCCCCAGACTCGATGGAAGACCTGTCGAATCGATGGGCTGTCTCTAGGACTGCGGGGTTTAGGGCATATAGGGTTTAGGGTTTTTGTTCAGGACATATAGGGCATAGGGCTGAAAGGATGTATATATAGGGCTTGAGGGGCTTCAGATTTAGGGATTGGTGGTCTATTGTGGTTGGACTGTCTGATCGTGAGAATTGGGGGGAGCGGGCAACGATGAGCCCTAAAGACCTCTTCGTAGATCCCAAGATAGCCCTTCAAAAAGGCTGAGGCCCAAGGAAAACCCGTTCAAAGAGTCTTCATGCAACACGTTTGAGGCCAGCCCAACCAAAGCTCTGTTGGCTAAACACTCAACCCCAAAAAGGATGCACTTATTCCCAAACTCTCCAGCACATCTCAGATCAGACTCTCGAAAGCCCCAATGGCAATCGCATGATGCCAGCGTTTAGGGTTTAGGGTCTACATCTTCTGTGTGTATGCTTTCCTCCTGTCTGCCTGTATCTTTGCCTCTCTGTCTGCCTGTATGCAAGCATGCAACGTAACTACGAAACTCGTTTCGCGTTTGTGCCTGTCTGCGCGACACCGTATGTGCGCTCTGACATATGAATATATATATATATATATATATATATATATATGTATATGTATATATGTATATATATATGTATATATATATATTTACTTATTTATTTATACTGGTTATTTACACTGCTTGGTTGATTGTTTATACTTGCTAATGCATACATACCCAGTCGATACCTTCTTTCAGACCGCAACTCTTCGACCCAAGCGGACCTGTGGTCGTGACCCGTGCAAGTGGCTGAGGCCAAGGGCCTCGTCGGATAGAACGGGGCCCTTTGGAGCTGCGATGGCTTTCGGAGGTTTCACAGGGGCTATAGAGGGTTTTTTTACATAGGACCGCTTTAACCAGAGACGGGCTTTATAGTGGCTAGGGTATGGAAATACATGATTTCATGCAGGTTTAGAAGAGCTTGATAATAGTGCCTTAAAACATAATTGGACGAAGGCTCTAAGAGGGTTAATATAATGTTAGAAGTTATAAGCAAAGAAACCGTGGATATGATTAAACCACTCAGACCGCCATATAGCATTTAGACCTGCAGGCACGACTAAGAGACTGAGATCCGCAGGATAACACATTCTTGAGTTTGTTGAGGGCCTTTCCTCTACCATAGTACTTCTATGGGAAACCCTTTTGAGGCCAAAGTACACAAGATGCGGCACTCTGACCCCTCAACCCTACAGGAAACCCGACTGTAGCCCCACTCCAAAGCCCTGCGCCCTGGACCCTACTGTAACCGTGCACTCTGAACCCTATAAACCCTAAACCGTTCGGGGAAAAACATAGGGCGTCCGAGGAACACAGTCCAACACGACGTTCAGTCGCTTCTCCCACGTGAAACTGTCAGGGGCTTCGGGCTTCAATAAAAAAAGAGTCGTAAGGGATCTATAGGGGTTTTAGTTTTAGGCTCTTGATTCAGGCTTAGGCCTTCAGGGGCCTGAGGATTTAGGGCTTTGATTCCGCGTGTTTTGAAATTTATTTAGGGTCCACAGGTTAGGGTCAAGGAAGCCGGACCGACTGGAACAGTCAGCCCAATGTAGTTTAAATTTTGGAGTCAAGCTGAACACTATAAAGGGGCACCCTTTACAGAACCTGCGTAACTCAGGAATATATCTCACCACCACATCATATACTGCAAGGATTCCCTAAATTGTGCTGCAATTTGCGGGTTGCACGTCTAGGGTTATAAGTAAGGTATCTAGTCTTATACTTAATTACTTCTAAACCCCCAAAACTGTACTTATAAGCTCACTTAACCTCACTTACTACTTGCTAAGTGCCGTGATCCTCCAAGTATTGGGCTTTGCGCGCAGTCTGGGTCTGAAGTTCATGGCATGAGATTTGGGCAGGAGGAAGGGAAGCCAATACCATAAGACCATAAGACCGTTCAAATCAAGAACATTGCTCAGCTCATGGTGCTTAGCCCAGTTCTGTGGAACGTATATTCCTGAAACTATTTAACAAAACTAGCTTCCCCGGTAGCCTCTGGATAGTGAGGGTAATGGGCCTCGGCCAGCCCGGGATGTAGAATTTGAAGTGTGCGTTGACCGTGAACCAAACCCTAAACTCTCTTCTTCGATAGCTGCACCAAACAAAAGCCAAACTATGAACATCGACCAAATATGTGAGACCCAAATGTCTAAAGTTCTCCCATTGGCTATTTAAGTAAACCCGAATTGGGGGAAGTCGTTTCTCTGATATTCAGCTGGGAAGTTGATAAAACTATGGTTGCTTTTTGGGTACCCTAAATCTTAGGTGCCGTTAGGGACCCAAAAAGGTACCATAATTTTGACAACCACCCAGATGTGGTTTGGGGCTGGGCCTGAGGAGTGCTGCAGGCTCGTGAACTTATGACTTTGGGAGCGGCGATCACCGCAACTAGCCACTTCACCCACCAACAGCGTGGCAGCGCACCCAACATTGCAAACCCCGAAGCATTCCACATGTGCTCCCAAACTCCGATGGCAGGCCTCAGCTGGATTTCACTTTCTTCACACATAACTCTCCGAGGCCCCAGATGCTTTTTCACAGCAGGCCGCCCCTTCAACCGGATATAAATATAGGTTTGTTTATGTACATAGGGTTTAGGGCTTAGGGTTTTGGGTGTGGGATTTAGGGTATCGGGTATAGGGTTTAGGGTTTCTAATCGCATCCGCTGCCTTGCGTCTTTGTTCAGCCGCGAGTTCACGTCCCCGCCAGGCAGGAGCTCGTAGACGAGGTACCGTTCACGCCTAGGGAGGTCTTCCGGGCTTCAGGACCCTATTTCCCAAAGAGTTCCATAACTCCAATGCTCGAAATTAAACCTTTGACCGTTGAGGCTTGCATTTTGTACTGAAGCTCCCTTGTGCTCTCAGCCGCAGCCATGCGAGCCAATCCGGAAAGAAAACACATTCAGAAGCCCTCAACCCTAAACTCTACACCCGAAATCTCCCTAAACCCCTAAACGTGCAACCCCTAAACCCTTTTAAACCTTAAACCCCCTTGAAGCCTTAAAACCCTATACCGCTACACCCTAAACCTTAAACCTCTAAACCCATATAAACCTTAAACCCCTTGTTTCCTTAAAACCCTAAACCTTAAACCCCCATGTCGTGAAGCACCGGCCGAGCAGCCCTTTTCTTGCGAAGCCCATGAGGATCACAAGGTTGGGATGCCGGAAGCGGCTGAGAACCTCTGGGTTCAGGGTTTGAGGGCTTCGGGTTTGTGGGTTTAGGGTTTAGGGCTTGTGGATTTAGGGTTTGTGGGCTCAGGGTTTGTGGATTTAGGGTGTAGGGTTTAGGGGGTTTGTGGGGTAGTACAATCCTAAGCTTGCAACCAAGACAGCAAGGTTACGGCTTTCAATCTTGAACTTGGACATGACGCTTAACTACAGCTTGTTGGTTCGGGCCTTAAGATTAACTCGTCTTGGGCTTGGGGGTGAGGTGTCAGAATTAATTATTGACCGTAGTCGTAGCAGTAGTAGTAGTAGTAGTAGTAGTAGTAGTAGTAGTAGTAGTAGTAGTAGTACTACTAGTACTAGTACTAGTACTAGTAGTAGTAGTAGTAGTAGTAGTAGTAGTAGTAGTAGTAGTAGTAGTAGTAGTAGTAGTAGTAGTAGTAGTAGTAGTAGTAGTAGTAGTAGTAGTAGTAGTAGTAGTAGTAGTAACAGCAACAGCAGTAGCAACAGAAGTACTAGTCGTCGCTACGGGGGCTGGCGGCGTTTATCATACAGAGTTCCTAGTTACTAGGCGCAAGAAGCGTTGGTTCACTCAGTTGTTATGTGTGTGTATATATATATATATACATATGAATATAGAGACCTTCACTGTGCCGTTTTTCTTCGTGCACTGATCTTTGAGAGATGTGGATTGGCTTGAACGCTCACCCAAGCCCCGTTGGCCTTGGGCTAGACAATCCGAGGCCCGTAAACCCCTAAACCCCCTAACCCCTAAAACCCCTACACCGCAAACCCTATAGATCCCTTCCAGAATCCCTTCGAGCACCTTTTATTGGATCCCTAAACCCCTAAACCCCAAAAGATTCTTTAAGGATCCCTTTAAAGGATCCCTAAACCCCCAAACCCCATCTAGCCTCCACTTCCTCTCGGAATCCGCCTTCTTTGGGCGAGGCGAGAGCCTTCAGAGCCACGGAGCGGTGTTGGGCTTTAAGAAAAGGGTTTAGGGTTTAGGGTTTAGGGGTTTAGGGGTTCAGGGGTTTAGGGGTTTAGGGGTTTAGAGGCTTAGGGTGGGAGTATATTTGGGTAGTTCTCTATATTCGGGCCCCTCTAGGGTTTAGGGTATGAGGTTGAGGTTTGGGCAGGCTCAAATTGGCGGCCAAGGCTTACACAGGGGTTGTGTTGAATCTGGTATAATTACTCTCTGGCACCAGTCTAAAGGGATCCTTGACAGGAGATGTAGGGCCATGAACAAAGAAAACATGGCTTGCAACAGCATCGCCTCGAACATGTCCAATGAACTGCGACACCCGACGAAACAAATGGAACTGTCGGAAAGAACCTTGGAGCCCGGTCATGCCCAGGTTCGCATGCTGGGCCCTTCCCCCTCCCCAGGCCCAGCCCTGAAGCCCGAACCCCAGAGCCCGCCGCATCGGCCTTGACACTAACGCTCCGAACCCGAAATTCAAACTCTAAACGCTGGCCCTAAACCATCTAAGGTTTGGGGTCTATGGGGTTTGAGATTGAGGGACCCTAAACTCAAACACTTTCAAATTTTGGCCCTGAACCATAGTGTTTGGGGTGTACGGTTTGAGATTGAGGATCTGTTTCGTTCACTCCCTTTCCCCTTTGCAGGTATCTGGACATGATGGCCGGATCCTCTGGCTAACAGGGCGCGCTGCCGAGATTTCGGGTTTAAGATGCAGGATTTAGGGTCTACAGGGCTTGCAATGGGTTATAGCCAAGAGGCTTTGATGGCAACTTCGGTTCCATCTCGCAAGGTTCCACGAAATACTGTCCCGTAGGTGCCCTGCAGGCAGAAGGCCAGGGGCTTGAGTCATTTAGGGTTAAGGGGACTGGGCTTAATCCAAAGGATCTTAGGTACTGTTATGGCTGTTATGGGTTACTTTCCCAAACCATAAAACGGATTCCTAATATAGAAACCCTGCGTCTTCTAGATAGGTGCTGTGGACCTGTTGGGTTATGCTTCAGAAATTTATGGCTCACGGGCCTAGGCTTACGGGCGTTTTTGTTGCCTTGGGCGGTTCGAGTGCTTGTGCTTGTTTATTTCAACACGAAAAACGGCCCCACTGGCTTGTGGTTTCGAGCTGAGTGCGGTGGAAAGTTTAACGGCTGGAGCCGGGGTCGCCAAGGTTCTGATGTTCACAACTCACAGACAACGTGCCGCACAAACTCCGCAAGGCCCCAGCACCCTCTGCAGTCTTAAAAGCGTTTGAGCCCACGTCCGACTTGCCATGTCCGAAAGTGGGAGAACTTCATCTGGATCGGAGCCTCGCCCAATCGGTTCGACGAACTGAAATTCTTGGTCGCCTGGGGAGAAGCAAGATGGACAACCAAAAATGGATCCACATTTTTAGCTCGATGACTGCGGTGTTGGGGGGAAGACTCTTGTGCCTGGGCATGGCTTCGCGCAAACAAGGTTGCGGACTCAGGCTGCCAGGTTTCGAGTGCGTCTGCTTCGGATTGCAAGTTGCAGGCTTGGGCCGCGATTTGACGCGTTTGGAAGTCGGCTGGGTCAGGAAACCTCTAGTTTATAACGGTAAGTAATTAATGTGTTGTGGGTTGAAGTGACTTCCCACAACCGCGGTTCGACAAAAGCACGAGGCACCAAGATCCCGATCCAGCCCAAGAGACTCGCGAGGTCACAAATCTTTCCCTGAACCTTAGATTCGATGTCTTCAGCCCTTGGCGCCCGGGATGGGATCCGGACCTCACAAATCTCCTGGAAGTCGAACTCCTGACCTGACCACAAGGGCCAGCATCACGGGAGCGAATGTATTTGTTTTATGGTCCCGAGTTCACGGTATGGGGTGAAGGATTAGAAATAAAACAGGTTTCCAAAATTCAAAGTTCGGGGCTTGCAACTGGCTGATCAACTCCCAATGCCCGGGCAACATTTGTGGCTGGCAGAGACCACTCTGCACCACACGCTCCTGCTGGGTAATTAGCTTCCGCGATTGCAGAAATACAATGAAATCAAACATCTTCCACTGAGTGCCTGAAAAGAACTTAGCCGATACTACCTGGTTACAGCGAACGCTGGTGCACGAAACACGGCCATGCTACACTTCTGTCAGGGTGCAGCCTCAACGTATCCGTTGGCAAGGCCATCCCGTTGACCCTGGGTGACCTCTATCTAGTCTTTTATGTCTAACTGTAGGTCGGCCTTAAACTGGTCAGTTCATGATGACTCACAGAGGCATCCAGCCCGAATATCCAGCGCAGAAGTTTCAAGCTTCAAAGATTGATTCTTTCAGTCGTCGACGCGTTCAAGTTCGGTCCGAAGCCCAGCCCTAGGCGCATGAAGCCACCGAGCGACATGCAAGGATGACTTCTTGCAAATGTTAAGGCGTGCAAATCAAATCCCTACCACCATATATGAGTGCATGATAGAAGGCCTCAAAGATCCTCAAACAATGTTATTTGCACATCATCTGCCCACACACCCACGGACATAATGTTGGACCAGTCCACCTGCCATACATAAAGCTGCATGGCATATCTATCAGTCGACCTCCGTTGTGTCTGCAGACAGTTGCGGGACCCGTGGCTTGGTTGCGAGTCTGCGGGGCGCCGGACACATGAAGCTCGACCCTCTGAACATGGCACCGGACATAGACTTTGGAGTGTACGGCTCAGGGTTAAGGGTCGGGATTGGGGCCTGATCAGGGGCCCCGGACTCGGATTTAGGCTTGAGTTTTTTGCTCTTTTCTGATCTAAGAACCAAGGCGCAGGTTCAGGATCTGCGGGGCCTAGCATGAGACGTAGAACTTAGTGCTCGGGCTACCTGAAGAAGCTAGCAGCTAGCGTTTTGGGTTGAGGGTTTCGGGTGTCAGAATTTCTAGAATGTGAGTTCGACCCAGACTACTCTCGACTTTAAAATTTGTGTGGACTATACCAAGATTGCTGGGAGACTAACCGAATTATTCGCGGCGGACGGGCTTTCCGGTCGGATGATATCACAAACATGATCAACCTGAGAAGTAGGATTGTTCAGGCTTGTATATTAGACCTGCTTACCAAACCTTTTCGGCCCAAACGGCCGTCTCCTGAGCCGTGAAAGTTATACCATAAACCCTTGACCCCGGAATTTAAACCCTAAACCCCAAAACCCTAAACTTGTCAAGCATAAGCTCCATAATGGGAGACTCCCAACCCTATGAGACGTAAACCCGACACGCGGAAATCGAAATCCTGAACTTCACGTCCGGAAACATCTCCGGAGCCGTAGCCGGAGCAGGGCTGGGGCTTTCAGGGCTCAAGGATCTCTGGCTGAAGGCTGAAATGTCAAAAGGGTTTCGGATATAGGGTTTAGATTTGAGGATTTAAGGTTCAGGAGTCTAGTTGGGAATCTCAAGATTTCAGGTTTAAGGTCAGGGTTTGAGGGCTAGGGAGGCTAGGGCGTAGGGGTGTAGGGGTCGAGTCTTGATAAGCCAAAACAACGGATTGGCGTGTAAGGTCCACCTGGACCAGTTGTAAGGACTCGTATAAGGACATCATAGCAAGGAGCCTGAAAAGAGCTTTGCCCTTGCAGGGCTTAGAGGTGAAGGGTTGAGGGCTCGCACAAGCATAGAATGCGAACAATTCCTCTAGAGCTCCAAAAGCACGATTAGGGAAGTTAGTGTGTCACGTAGCAGCCTACAAGTTAGCACGCCGGGGCCCTGGTGATTCTGAAGGAGACCCCATGCTTAAAACATCAACACAACGCCCGATTGAACCCAAAGCCCTAAACCCTTAAAGCCCTAAACCTAAATCGCAAAGGCCTAATTAAGCCACAAAAGCCCCAAGAGCTCGAAGAGAAGAGACATGAAGCCCCGACACCCAAAACCCCAACCAACATTCACGTCTGGTCCTGAAGACTATAGCCCCGGAGCCCAAAAAACCTAAGACGTAACAATAGGGGCCTCTAAAAACGGAATGGGTTTAGCGTTTAGAGTAAAATAGGGTTTTGGTGGTATATTATACGGAAATCATAATGCCATAATTAAGTACCAAAAGACAAAAAACATTTGTAATCTTTTAGGCCTCTATACATTTAACACCCCAACACCATGGCACTCTAAAATCCTAACCTTAAACCCTTCGCCTAACACCCTAATCTTGAAACCCTAGAGCCCAACTCCCTGAAGCCCTAACACTCTAAAGCCCCAAGCCCTAATTCCCTAAACCCGCCAAGTAGGAGTCCCGCTAAACCCTATAAACCCAAGACACCCTAAAGCTTGAAACGTAAACCCACAGAAATGGTGGGTTCTCCGAAAATTGGAGACCCTAAGAACATAGTACCCTAAATAGTAGGATCCTTATTATAAACTCCCAGGATCCTAATATGGTACCCTGAATAGTAGGATCCCTATTAGAAACTCCCAGGACCCTAATATAGTACCCTAAGTAGTAGGATCCCTACTGCTGATGGACAAAATCCTGAAACTACCCATTATAAGGAATATACCATATAGTTCCCATAGTTTAGAGTCCTTAGGGTCATGCAGGATTTTATCCGTCAACAGTAGGTAGTACATCCTTCATTGCTGCTTGTATCGCTCATGGTGGCCGAAGATACTCTGCGGTTGTTCATACTGTCGCTACTGGAGCTCCTGCTGCGATGGTTTTGACGCCCACAGAAATCCCTCCGAGTAGGTGGGAAGCTGGGTCGGCGGCTCAAAAGTTTCAGGACCTGGCTGGCCAGAGTCACGGCCAGGGGCTCTTGGGGTTCAGGGCTTATAAGGGTTTAGGATAGGGTAAGGGTTTGGGTTTAGCGTTTAGGGCTTATAGGGTTTAGGGTAGGGTAAGGCTTAGGGTTTAGGGTTTAGGGTTTAGGTTTAGGGTAGGGTAAGGCTGTGGGTTTAGGGTTTAGGGTAAGGTTTATGGGGGTTTAAGCTTTAGGACTTTCGGGTTTTCGGCGTCAGGGTTGCGTTGAAGGCTTCGGCTTGGGGGCTTATTGGCGAAGGTGCGGGGTTTAAGGTGCAGGCTTGAAGGCTCGGGGGCTTCTGGCTTCGGGTTTAAAGCTTCAGATTCTCAAAATTCTGGGATGCAGAGAGTTGAAGTCAGGGTGGGTGTAGGGTTTTAGGGTTTGCAAGGTGTGGGGCTGGGAGGCATTTGTATGTCTCAACTGCCCCCCAAGAAGACGACACCCAGGTTGACCAAAACAGTGCATCCTATTCGCGTCATACCCTAAGGGTTCATGTCCGCCAAAATATGCATATAGGGACTACTTTAGGCTCAATGTAAATATACTATTTGGGTACATGGATCCTCAGGGATAGCTTGCCTGCCCTCAAGTGCAGTCCGCAGCCGAATGAGAACAGGCAAGCCTGCAAGCCCCTTTGGACTAAATCGCCGTATTTCTCCTCGATTCTCTTACTATCGAGGCCTCCTCGCCTAATCGGAGGCCTCAAAAGGTGGGATAAAGGTAGGTAGGATTAAGGATCCCTTATAGAAGGACTCTTATTTGGGAATATCCCACCTACCTTCATCCCACCTTTTGAGGCCTCCTCGCCTAAGCTTTCAGCACCCTCCGGCGTTAACAAATTACGCGTCTCCTATCCCAACTCGGACCTGTGGAGGATCCTGAAAGAACTATAAAACCACAAACCCAAAAGGCAAACAAACACGCACAACAGCGCAGCGTCCTTGAATCGCAACATCTGCCGGGGCGACATCGGTCGGCGGAGCTCTGCAGCCCTCGGGGATCATCGCGGAGCCTCCGGTCGACCTAGGTTTTTTCCAAAATGGAGTGCCCTCGGTTTACAAGCGTTTTGGGGAAGGGCTCCAATTATATAGGTCCTTTGACTAGTACATGTCTTAGAAGGCTCTTGCTGTAAAGGTTGTGCGCCGCTTTTTCGTTGTTGTTTGACAAAGGGGTCGATAGAATATTAAACGAGGGAAAAATCAAGTGATGAGAAGTAGGATCCGTATGTCAAGGACCTGTGAATGGCGTAACTCCCAGTCTGAAGAAAACTCTCATACCCATGGGCTCCATAGTAGTTCCCTTTTGGGATTCATATTTAGTATCTACAAGGAAAGGAACTACCATGGACCCTCTGCGTAGTGTCTTCTTCGGCTCAGGTTGCAGCTTGAGGCTCTTATGGCTTGGGAGTCGAAGACTTGAGGTTCAGGGTTCAACAGCATTTCGTGGTAGAGGCTGCAGTTGTAGGAAACCCTAAACCCGAATAAGCCCCAAACCCTAAGCAATAAACCCGAAACCCTATAAACACTACGTCCTAAACCCTAAAGTCAGCCTCAGGACATGGAAGGCTTGGACTGGAGGGTTCCGGGGCTTTTGGGGCTCGAGCTGAGGGCATTCTGGGTTCAGCTGAGCATCGAGTGCAAAGGTTGGATGCTTCTGAAGCAGATGAGCGACCGGGCTTCTTCGAGGTACCCTACACCACATCATGACACTACACAAGGGTTCAGAGTGTAGACTCCTGGCTTTAGATCTGAGAGTTTCCGACAGTCAAGAGAACCCACAGAACCTTAGCACTAGTAGAGTGTAGGACCTGCATCATATGAAAAAGACCCGAACAAAACATACCAAAGGGTTCGGAAAGCCCCATCCCCAATTCAGTGGAAGCCCCTCCTTCTAGCCAGACACCTCCGTGACACCTACTTTCTTCTCTGGGCTTCGCGCCCGCGATTGCCAGGCTTACACCACCAAGGTCGTGGCCATGAGTGGTCCGCAGCTGGATTTCAAAGTTCGTATCTATGGTGGCTTTGATGTTCTAAGCTTGAGGGAGTGAGGGATGTCTGAAGGCCCAAGGCCTCGCGGTTGAGGCAGTGCTCGCTTTGCTTGTTTGAGACTGCGAGGTGGGTTGGGAAAAGTGGTAGATGGGGGTTGAGATGGCGAGGCCTGCGCAGGCCGGTGCGTTGTGGGTATGGCGAAGAAAAAGACATGGAAAAAAGCTGGCGGCCGCAGCGGTCATCGAATTCTTAGGGAGTCTGCCAGAAGGTACTGAGCCCGAGGATTCGAAACCGATATGCCTTGAAGATCTTTGCAGGTCAAGGGTCGAAGAGCAGGTCCAACAATAAGCTTCGGACAAAGGATGATGATGCTGATGATGATGATGAAAGCTCTGTACCCTGAACGTAAGAACCACCAAACGTGCCACCACACTCTCTGCGGAAAACAGCAAGGCGAATGTCAGTCCCCAGACCTGGATGTGAAATCTTTTTCTCGGCGTCTCATCTCCACTGTTCGATGAAAGCGGCCAGAGGCCCTTCGGGCCATCTGTAGACAAGTTCATCGCCAGCTGTTCCTCCAGCACTCCAGTCTTTCTGCCTGTAGAAGGTTTACGAGTGGTGTCTTTCTGAATGAGTGAGCAACATGCTCTTCTCAAGAGATTCCGAAGATTGCTCAGTCGTTGTGATTTTGGGCGATCTCGCTGACCCAAGGGCACCATGCCGCCATCGGCAGATTTCGTGCCTTTCGTCCCCTCTTCAAAAGGATCTTTGGACACGAGCTTGCTCTCCCCCAGCATCGTCTCGCCACCCGCATCGTTCTCCCCCTCCTCTTCTTCCTCCTCCTCCTCCTCCTGAGTGGGCACAAAAACCTAAAACCCAGACATCGAAGTAACAGAATCTGAACCTCTTTCCGGGCTCCCTAGGATTTCGAGCACAAGACAATTAGTCGGGCGGTCGAAACTGAAAACACTGGGATTCGTAGACTTTGTGCCAGGGTTCAGGACATTCGGGCGAAAGGCTGTAAGTAGGGTTTGAGTTTTGTCTGGCGCGGGGTGTGAGACTTTCCGTTGAAATGATCACCGAATGTGACCTGCCTGTGGCTAAGCATTTCAGGAGAGATTCTTTCGGGGACAAGCCGTTGCTGCAGCAACATCTTGGCAGTCTGATGTTGTATCATGTTATAGCGTCTGAAAAGTCTTGGTGCTGGCAGAGAGTGCAACTAGCGCAAAACCCTGAACCCACATCATCCATCCCGAGCAGCGAGCATTGAACCTGCTGAGAAGGTGCCTCTTCGAATACTCAAACTCCTTGAAGCCTCGTGCTCTCTGGCCACAGCGCCTTGAACAACCGGGAGTTTCCTGAGATTGAGAACCCTTCTAAGAAGTCATTCCAAAGGCGGTGCCCCCTGAAGAGGACCCTCATCCTCAACGAAGTAAAGGCGCCGAGAACTCCAAGACAGCGCCCACGGCCCCATCAAGACGCAGTTGCCGGGGGTCGTCACGGGCCACGGGAATCAGATACTCCTGCAGGAGGTCGATTGGGTTATACAGGGCCCGAAATGATTGAAAGAAGAAAGAGGACTTGGGGGATGTCTTCTAGTAGATAATTAGTTATACAGGGTTGTCCCCCGAATTCCTACAGCCCCACGTCCGTGAAAGCCCTAGACATAGACTGCGAAATGCTGGACCCTACAGAACGAGTCTTTGAACTAGGTTCAAGCTTATTTGGCATGGGGCCTATGCTGCTGCTCCATCGTAGTCCCTGGTGCTGAACACATTGTTGGCAAAGGGCTGAGGGTTTTGGATTGAGGAATTTGCATTGGTCGTCTCCTCTTTCCCGATGAAATACTTCACCGTCACTGACCTCGCCGACACTCGGCAAACTTGTCCGTCAACCCACCTGAGTGGGAGGTGAAGCCGGTTCTCATCTTCATCCTACAAGTCCAAAATGTCGAAACCTTCAAACTGGGCCTCTTGGCATCCACGAGACGTCATGGCATATACAGATTCAAACTGCAGCTTCTGGCTTAAGTCGTCAACCAAAATCTCGCACACCGTGTCAAAATTGGGAACCAAGGTTACTAGATAGATATCCCTATATAGATGAAGGATTTCTCAGTTCCTGAGACTCACACTGGTCTCGCACTCAACTAGCGACTAGTTCCGAGCTTCGCCAGCGTTAATCCGATAAACCCGTGACCCTGGATTCCCTGGATCCTGAACCCCGAAAACCTGTCAAAGACAAAACGTGCCACAACCCCGCAAGGGGCACCTCCTTCTCGGCTTTCTGATGAACACGGAAACCAGAGAATCCTGCCAGTGCTCAGAGGGCAGAAAACACAACTCAACATCACCTGAATGTGAAGCAAGACTTGGCAATCGTAGGTAGATGTTCCGAACCATGATGAATGCAACAAGTAAGCCTTGTTGCACATGCGACAAACTCCCTGGTGTTTTCTGACATCCGGAATCCCTCAATATAGGGATCTATGTGCGCAAAAAAAATAGGGTCCCTAGGTGATCGTGATGCATACAACCAGTGGGATGGCAATAACAAAAGCAAATGACGAGGTTTTCCTGGCCAAGCCCATGGAAACCGCGAAACCATGCTGGAAGTCCTTCTCCAAGCGCTGTTGCCAACCTTCCTCGCTGAAAGGCCTCTGCAAGAGCCTTCGATTTGAGGTCTCGAGTTTTGAACTGGCAGTGCCTACAGAATCCTATCTAGACCGGTCTGTTCGGAAAAGCTCCCTGCTTCTCGTCTCCGACACCAAGAAATTTAGTAGTCTGAGTGTCATCTCTCTTCAGGCACTAGGTTCCGTCCTTACAAAACATACGAAGCTCCAGAACAAACACATTTCTCAACAGTATCCAAGGGGCACTTGTGCAGCATTCTGGAAGCCCGGCACTATCTTGGCCAAGGGCAAGCAAGGACTAAGACTAGGACTCGCGCTTAAGACTAGGACTAGGACTAGTGGGAGTAGGAGTAGGAGTTAAAAGTAGGAGTAGGGGCAGTAGCAGTAGCAGTTGGAGTAGGAGTAGCCGTCGTCGTAGCAGTGGTAGTGGTACTGATAGTAGTGGTAATGGTAGTAGGCGGGGGGTGGGGGCCAGTTAGGAGGGGATACTGGCAAACATGGCAGCCTCAAACAGCTATCTTGCCGCCATTCTAGCTTGCGCTTGCGGTAAGCGAGCCAGCCGTGGCAGAAGTGCGCGCGTTAGCGAGATGATCGTTCCTTGATGTTCCTTGCATATTCCACATCTGCGGTGCAGAGGGTCCGTTTTCCTGCACACAGTTAACTGTCTGTGTTCACGCTAAGTCGGCGCCTTTCCTCCGTACTGTTGCTTGTCTGCCCTAACATTCTAATCGTTTCTAATCGACATGTGTTTGGTAGGGGGGACGGGGCTAGTACTAGTAGTCGTAGTAGTAGTAGTAGTAGTAGTAGCAGCAGCAGCAGTAGTAGTGGCAAGGGCAGTGGCAGTGGTGGTGGTTTTCCGTTGTATACTGTATCGTCGATGTAGACAAAGCCCTTCTGAGGCACAAGCGGCAGCTACCGGTGTTGCGGCCATGCCTCGGTTTGACGGCCATTCAGGGAAGCTCAGGGTTGCGCTTAAGGTTTGGGGCTCCGGCGCTTTGGGGCTTATATAGGGCTTTGGGTTTGGCACTTTTAAGCCCAGGTTGGGCCAAGGACTTTCAGGACTTGAAGGCTTAAGACGGAGAGTGGATTTCAGGCTTCTGGAGCTTCAGGACTCAATAACTTTCGGGCTTGGGTTGGTAATAGGGCTCGAGCTTTAGAGGGCCAGGGAATCCCAGCTTTAGCGTCCAGGTGTTCCACAAGTTGAGGTGCGAACGGTCGCGGATGATGTGGCTCTGGCATGGCTATCTCCAAAACCGCTGACCCTGAACCCCAACACTCTTGAATTCGAGAATTCTACATCCCGAATCTCTTCATGCAGCTATCGTGTTTCCTGCTTTCAATATTGTGGGCTTATGTGGAGTGTCGAGGTTGGTGTTTGGGGAGTTTAGGGCCGTGGTTTAGCAACCGGGTTCGCGTTTCAGACCCTAAATCCTGAAGCAAAACACTGCGCAAGCCTCAACACCCAAAGCCTGAAAAACAGTTGGAAAGAACGACAACGGTCGAGCAGCATGTCGCGAAACCAGGCGCTGTGGCAGTGACCCCACCCGCCGCCTTGAACGCTCCAAATGCACAACACCTTGATGACTCTGACATAGAATAAGAACAAATATCTGTAGTTTCTTTTGCGTCTTTCTCATGAGGCTTTGCGGGCTTTGAGCTGACATGTTCGAGTTTGTTTCGGCTCGAAGCTTTTCATTATAGCGTAAATGTTCACAAGTTCAGGATTGAGGAAGGTCAGCAAGATCCCCGACCACGATCCGCACGCAAGGCCTCACAGCTGAAACCATCTGCTTGTCCCTGCGACATGCATTATAGGAGCCTGAATACTCCGACACGCTCGGCACTCGGCTCCCGCTGTGGCGCGGTGCATACTTTTCTCCCAAATTCTCCTACACTAGCCACTTTTCTGCTGCGACAACCTTGAATAGGGTCAAGACTTACTTGGGGAACAGCAAGGCGCGCCGACCTCCGACAGCAGCTTTCCAAGCCTTTCGAGGGCTTGCACCACCCACTCCTGAGTCTGCGACATTCACCAGGGGGTCAAGTATCTTTAAGGCTTACTTCTCAATCTAGGAGACTTGAGTTTGGGGATTGGGGGGCTTAGCACTTGGGGTTTCGGAGCAAAGGCTTGGGAAGGCCATCGAGGCCCGGTCGAGTCCCCTCAGCCGAGGATCCTTGAGGGAGGCTGCGCATGCGAGGACTGCCTTCGACACGTGGCCCAGGACGGTCTGCACCTGAGCAGTCGCAACAATGCTCCTTTCTTGGAGAAGCCTTCTCAGCCTTGTCTGAACGTTGTGACACTCCATGGTGCAGAGAAGTCTTCATAAGTTAAGAGATCGCTCTGGAAGGTGCAAAACTTTTGGTTGGAGGTCTGAGGCAGCCCTGACCCTGCAAGAGCTTTGCAGCACCCACTGTATACTTGTCCAAAGTCTCACAGAAGCCTGTCTGACAACCGAATTGAACAGAACCGGTTCAACTACTAAGCGATCCTATACCCTGATTGCGGCTGAGGGTTGGCCAGAATCCCTTGAGGCAGTGGCAGACGTACTCTTGAAGAGCTCCAACAGCAGCGGGACCACAATGTAGGCCAGCTGCCAACCGCGAGTTGTGGCGGACACAGTAGAATTCAGAAGCACCTGGGGTGAAGGTTTGGATAGGTCTTGGGATTCAGGGCGTAGGATTTGGCGTGGTTAAGGCTTGGAAGGAGGAGCATGCGCCGGCCTATATGCTCCCAGTAAGAAGCTGTACGCAGCTGGTACGACTGCTTTGCTGCTCCAGTCAGGCTTCGTGTTTCACAGGACTCTCAAGTTCATTGCGCTGTGTACGGCTAGGAGCTAGCCTCACTGTGATGGTGGCACTGAAAATCATAAGAATGACAAGTCGAAGCCTAGGATCATCATCATTAGCATCAGAACGAAAAAGCTGTTGAGGGCATTTGGGTCGTTGGGCAAGAATTATCATCCATTGTGGAGGCTAGCCCGTTGACAGAGCACCGGTGTTATGAGTGATCCGTGGGATTCTTCCGTCCCTCCCTGAAGTATCCTGAAGTGCTACCGGTTCAGCAATACGCCGAGTGGCCAGAGTCTGTCGGGTTTTCGTGCATCAAGATGGGTATTGTTGATTCTACGGTTGCTTATTCTTGCCTCCTCTGTGGGCTTCGCTGCTTTGATCGCCTTGCTTGTGCTGTGAAGTCGACTCTACTTCCAGCCATCTGACTTGTCTTGCAATGGAGCGACCGGAAAAGGTAATTGATGTTCTGACGGTGGTGCTTATTTCGTTCATACTATTGCAGCAAATCTGGGGAATCTGAAGAAGTGCGAAGGCACCCGGGGGGCTCCTACTGTAGCTATGTCGATGCAACGGCCTCCAGGACCGCTATCGCCAAGTCCATCAAGAGCTGCACCAAGTCCAGGTTCCAGCAGACATGGTTGTCGAAGATCTCCGAGTATTTCCTGGCCGTGTATCAGCTCTCCTAACAAGGGGCTGCAGTCATACCTGAGGTCGGCTGCAATTTAGGATTCCCTCCGTCTCCAGGATTCGGCCGTGCCGAGCTGTGAAGCCTTGCATCCCAAATTGCTACTTCAAAACAGTTAGGCCAACGCTCAACGCCGAGAACTGGTGTTTGGCCCAAGACTCGCTGAAAGCAATTGAAGGGTGGCGTTTGGGACCCCTGCTTGGTGCAGCAGTCGCAGCAGCTGCAGCTGGATGAATTGCTTCAGCCACTGGCGTCCGAAGTCTTCCCCTTGGCAGCTGCCCTTCCTTGCATTGGTTTAGTGGGATGTCGGATCCCAGCACTATGTAGCGACTTGAACTCCGCAACTTGATTCCTGGCTAACTACGATGATACTGCATTCCTCCGAACCATATTGTATTATGCGAGTTGCCATTGATTACATTGTCCCTCCTTACCATGATCGCTGCTGCTTCTATTCAGCAAGCACACCAAATCAGAAAAAAAAAAACTCAAGGCCGACCAGCGTCAGGCAGTCCTGGACGATTGGCCGCACCAAGCAAGCAACCGAATCCTATCGGACGGCTGCCAAAGAGATTATGTTTTGAGGATTTCAAGCTCAGAGTTACGGGTGTTAGGTTAGGGTTTATGCGTACCGGCATTGTGGCTATGAATCGTTCGGGCGGGGAACTATTGCAGTTGTCATCTTACACCCATAGACTCCAGTATAAGTCCTTGAGACTGAAATCTACGACATCCTTCCTGAAACCACCAGAATTTCAAGGTTCTCCAAGCCCACAGCAGCCTCCAGGTATGGGTTCAAGGCCGCCCAGGCCGATGAGCTCTCCAGCAGCGTCTTTGAGGCCGTGTCGGCGGGCGTCTTCGGGGCACTGCTCGGTGCACCATCCAGAAAGGCCTGGACTTCCGGGGTTCTGGTCTGGGTTTTGCTGTCAGGGTTCGTCGGACACAGACCACTGACGGTGCCATCTCGGTTCATCTCTACGTGGACACGCTTGTTGTTCAGTAGCACTTCTGCGTAGAAGCCGTCTGTGCCCTCATGCTCGCAGAGCTTTGCCGGACCGGTTTCGCCGTAATCCACGCCGGTCGCCCTTTCAAGGGAAGCTGCTGGCATGCAACTTACCACCGGACTCTCCAGTTTCCCCCGCGCTGGCCGGCAAATGTCGGATAGCTCTTGTACCAGCAAAGGACTTGTGCCATCCGCTTCGCCAATGACCGCTTCAACAGCCATGCCACCTGCGACCTTCCTGACCATCTCGCCGGCAAAGACGGGGACCACACCCACAGCACCTTGTTGGAGAACTTGGGAACCACTGCCCCTTACTGCCTGAGTATACTTCAGCTCCAAATTGACGGAAACACGGAAAACCTCGCTGAGAAACTGTCTCGGTGTTCGTGCTCGCCACAACCCACTCTGTAATGGTGAAACCCTGTCGGGAGCAGAAGGAGTCCTTGCTAGCCACCCGCACAGCATAACTGCACCCACTTGAAATTCCAGGTCGTCTCCAAATGATCCCTGACCCCAGCTGCGATGACTTTGCCGCATTAGCAATTCACGCGACTGCTCTGGAAGTCCGGACAAACGGTCATGCCAATCCGATGCAGCCACCACCACATTTACACGACCGGTTCCATGCAGCCACTGTCCCAAGCCTCGGTGCCAATATGGGTTAACAGTTGGTTCCACACCGGAATCCTACATGCCTCGCTTAAAAATTACACTGAATGTGTCACTGGGGATAGTAGCTACAGAGGCAAGCAAGCTCGGATCGGTGAGGCGGGTCTTTCACAACAAAACCAAGCGACCTCGTTGCACCTCACCTTCAAAAACACTGACTGCAGAAGGCTCGACGCCAAGTCTGTCCGCTGCAAACGTGCGAACATCCTCTGCCCTCATCCTGGGCTTTTGCGGACAGACATGAAATTGAGATGTCAGGGGGGGACATTGAAGAGGAGGCGAGAACGGCAAGACATTGTACCCAGCGTGGGGCTGATTCTTGCATGTCGGGCCGCTTCAAGACATGGGAAGGAGGGAAGTTGGGAAGGCGCTATGGTTCAGATTTGAGAGCTCTGGGTGTAGTCTAGTTTACGTCTATAAGCTGCGCTACATCACCAGGATATGGATCAAATGTGGAGTCGAAGATCATGCCCGTGCCGATACAATACATGCGCAGGTTTAGCGTGGGATAGGGCACTTCATGCCTCATGCAACATCCCAAACATCAAACCTCCGCAGAAACGACTCTCAGAGAGGGTCCGGCCGAGTGTCCAGGCGACAGGTAGAGCAGCTGTCTGAAACAACGGCACTGTCTCGAAGGCCAAGTGCTTCAGGTTCCCTGGGTCAGGATTCAGATCTGAAGGTTCCCAGATGCTACCCGAAGTCTTCCGACAATTCGTAAATTACGAAGTGGAACACCAAGCGCGTGAAGGTTAGGCTTGTACCACGAGTACCTTATCACACCACCACCACTGCCACCACCGCCACTACAACACCACCACCGCCACTAAAAGCAACAACTTCTACTTCTACCACTACTACTACTGCTACTACTACTACTACTACCGTTACTACCACTACGACTACTACTACTACTACAAGTACAATTACAACTACAAGTAACGACTACAATTACCACCCAACCCCAACCCCAATCCCCAAACCTTTCTTCTGCCTCTGCTTCTAATACTTCTACTACTACTACTACTACTACTACTACTACTACTACTACTACTACTACTACTACTACTACTACTACTACTACTACTTACTACTGCTACTACTACGACCCATCACCCCTTGCTTGCCGCACTTCAGGGGTGATTTCCGGGGTGGGGTGGGGTGGGGGGGGGAGGGGAACAACGGCATATTTACATCGGTCAGTGGCATCTACGCTTCACAAGCGTTGATGCCTTGTACGAGCGTGCCCGAACCAGTGTTTTTTTCAGGGCTTTGCCACTTTCTTCGGCATACTGCAGAAGGATGTTTGGCTTTCTGGCATAGGGCGCACTGTCATAAGCGGTGAGGCCTGGTGCGAGCATACCCAGCTGGTATTTGCAGCATCTGTGCCTTTTGCTCAACATCGTGCACAACGATATGGCGACGGCGAAGATGATGCAGATCCCATACTGTCATCAGTATCTCCCATACTATCATCAACATCTCATCACATAGAAACGATTAGTTTTAGAGAGCAGGTTGCTGTGGGGCCTGGGTTTTTGCAGACCCACCTTTTGTATCAGTTTTACATTCTAACAACTCCAAGCACTTAAAGGGTAGCATTACAACACAAAGTCCCGTCTTCTACTTCCTGGGTAGTTTAATGCATTCAAGGTCAGATTTGGCCTGTGTACATGTAGTATTGTATACTCAGACGTCAACGGGTTCGACAGCGCAGCATTGACTGGCTACGTATTGAAAGTTTTCCCACAACAACTATCACAGGCAGGAAACACCGTAAATACCGTGTATTCTGTACTTCATCAAAGCAAGTCTTGGGATAGGTCACATAGACTCGACATGTTGGACACGGAGCGGCATGCCTTTATTATCCCTGCAAGACTCTTCATCCGATCAAGCCACTCCACCCAGCACCTGAACCAACGCATCATCTGCTTTGGCATGCAGTGTCGTTCGGTTGTTGGAGAACCGGTACGTATTGAACTAGTGTACTTATTTGGCAAAGTGCACAGGAATCGAAATAAGTGTTTAGGTCAGTGCTTGAAATGTGTTTTTGCATGTCAACAAATATGAGTGAGTTCAATGTATGCATTAGCATGTGCGACTGTCAGGGAGCCAAGGAATGATGAAAAGCTGCCTGTGGTTGACAAGCCTGGTACTTGTCGAAGATGACTCGAACCCTGTTTGCACATGTTCATGTCCTGCTGGCTGCTATAGGTACCTTCGCTCTGGGTATCCACAGTCTACAATCCAAAATAGCGAGCATCTGGATCAGTATGAATTCTGAATCCGGACATCTGGTTTTATGGGGCCGCTGCCGCTGAAGCCTCGTTCGGGGAATGAAAAGTTCTACTGTGGTCCAGGCCGTTGCATGATCTTGCATGGCCTCCAAATGCACAAATATCTGTGTCAGAAATTTTCTGGTTTGACATACAATCAACCCTTCATATCCCTCTGTTCCTCTAAGGTTATAAAGGGGGCAAAGATTGGACCTCTGAGCTCAGTAGCAACAGCACTTGTGTTTACACGTGAAGACAGGCATACATATATATGCACAATATTCCACACAAGCAAACCCTGTGTTTATGGACAACTCTTTTGTTTATAAACAAGGCCAGGTGTTTATAAACAACCTACCACATAACATTTTGTTTCCCATACGCAGAAACACCGTAAATACCAGTGATCTCATAGTTTTCTCAATCAAACAAGGTCTTGGTCTAAGCCACACGAGCCGATACGTGGAAAAAGTCAAGTTAACGTATCAGTGTGTCAGTGTGCAAGATTTGCGGTGAGGTGAAGTTTGTGAACTTGTTGGTTGGAGTCTGTGGTGCTGGTGATGCTGGAGGGGGGGGAGGGGGGGGGGTCGGGGATGCAACAACGAGCCAAGACTTCTCCCCCCCCCCCCCCCCCCCTTGACCGCTTCCGCCACATCACGACATATAACGATGAATACGAGCAAACGCAAAACCAGCAACACCTAGACAAGAAGACAAAAGTTAACTATCATATAATGTACATTTTAACGAGCAAATCCAACAAACTCTAAACGCTGAAAGCACGGTATACCGATACGCACTGTTTATAAACAAAACCCTGTGTTTATAAACAGACCGCCGGGTTTGAAACAATTCAGAGCTGATGTTGTAGTTGGAAACAAAAACATGCACGCATGCGCACCAAACGAGCGACCAACTGGCACAGAAACCCACGCACAACCATCCGAAACACACAAAATCACTAAAAATAGTGGGTTGCCAAAACGCAGGCCCCACAGCCTCCTCTTCTGTAGTTTTAAGAGGTCTTAGAAACCACCTATATTCGCAAGTCCTGCGCCTGCCACGAAAAACGCAATTGAAACAGCCAAAATTAAAGTCAGTTTAATGTGGAGGACATGCTTGCACCGAACATGGCGTTCCAAGACACGGCCTGGCTGCTGCCGCCGTTAAAAGCAGCATTTGCAAGAGAACGGAACAGCAAAACCTCGACTTTTTGCCGATCTTTCAGAACACAAAGCATGAAAAAACAGTGGACGCCCAAATAGTCCTGTGTTCGCATGCAAGTCAAACATTCAAATTGCTAGCTGCTAGCACTTTCCCGCGCAGCTCCAGAATGTGCTGACAACACAAGAGAAAACACAGTTTTCGCATTACCGCACTCTGCATGTTGCACTGAAGCACATCACTTAACACCCGTTTGCAGCGCCATGTGCGCGGCAAACGAAGTAGATGGGGCCTACCACTACCACTACCACTACCACTACCACTACCACTACCACTACTACTACTACTACTACGACTACTACTAGTACTACTACTAGTACTAGTACTAGTACTAGTACTAGTACTAGTACTACTACTACTACTACTACTACTACGACTACGACTACTACTACGACTACTACTACTACGACTACTACGACGACTACTACGACGACTACTACGACGACTACTACGACTACTACGACTACTACGACTACTACGACTACTACGACTGCTACGACTGCTACGACTACTACGACTACTACGACTACTACGACTACTACGACTAGTACGACTACTACGACTACTACGACTACTACGACTACTACGACTACTACGACTACTACGAGTACTACGAGTACTACGACTACTACGACTACTACGACTACTACGACTACTACGACTACTACGACTACTACGACTACTACGACTACTACGACTACTACGACTACTACCACTACCACTACCACTACTACTACTACTACTACTACTACTGCTACTTCTTCCACTACTACTACTACTACTACTGCTACTACTGCAACTACTGCTACAACTGCTACTACTGCTGCGATTGCCACTACTGCTACGACCGTTGCCACTACCACTACCACTCCGGCTGCCACCACGGCCAATGATCACTTATACCGCTTAGAGATGCATCCTTGACTTGCAGTCTGAAAAACGACATACCGTTAACTCGTCCGAAACGATTGAGCAGGCCGGCCAGGAAGATCCGTAAAGTCCATGTAGTAGGGACGGCCGGCACGGCGCCACTGCAGGGCATTAAGTTCCTTCCTCTGCCATGTCCACTCCTGCCAAGCGTGAATTGCCCTGGGACCCACAGAAGAGTATCACATTTATCAGCCATACACAAAACAGCATAAGCTGAAAGGCTTGGGTTTAGGCCGGTATAGACTCACTGTTGGATCGACAGCGACTACAATGAGGTGCCAGTGCAGTGAAACCTGAGTGTGAGCTGGTTTAAACCACCAGTTATGGCTCTGACCTCATACAGCTACGCCCCAAAGCCATGCCCGAAGGCACCACATGCATATCCTTCGACTAGATGTCATCTGAACTCGATAAACCCGGAGGCTCCAATGTTGGAGCACATCCTCAAAACTTGAATTCAAGCATCTCTCAAACCCCAGTCCACAAGCTGACGCCTCATGTATCCCATCCTGGAGCCTCAAAGCGACAAACCAACAAAGTATTGAGTCGCGCCACGAACCGAACCCAAACTGCATTCCAGCGGTGGTGCCTCAAGCTTTCCCTGGAACGCGTGCAGCTGCATCCGCTCCACGGGACATGAGGTCACAAGCCTTGGATGGCTTTATGCTTGAAGTTCTCCAAAGGTTTCGGGCCTGGTAGTTGCAGGCAAGCATCGGGAGTAAGCCTTCCGCTGTCGATCGAATTTTGTGGCTGAATTTCGAGTTTCGGGCATGTGAGAGTTGCAGTTGGGCGGCTGGTGCCTTTCAAGCTTCGCATTAAAATCTTTCAGCGGAGCATTGGACACTTCAGCATCGAAGGCTTCATCTGCAACTGCGTAACACGAATGTTCCAGGTTTTCAGGAATAGCTTGATAGTGCAGCATCCGGCGATGCACTCTACATCTGAAGATCATCCAAGAGGCAAGATCAGCAGGCTGCCGCACATGCAACAGACTTTTTCGACCTTCGTGTGCAGTTCGCACAGTACTGGTGAACGTATCAAAAAGGTGTTCGAGGTGGTGTGCTAACTTAACTGATTTGGACCTACTGGACAGTGTAATTATCCTGGATCGACCAAGAAAGCACCAATCTAGCGGTCAAGAATCACCACAGCACAGTCAAGCGACGGAGATTTTGAGCTGCTTCAAAGCGCAGAGGATGTATTCGGACAGTTCTTCTTTGTCCGCCTCAGAGACATTCTCGACTCGTGGAATCCTGAAAACGTAGCGCAAACTGCGACTTCGGCCCTGAGCACGGCGAGTGTCAGCTGACTCAGCTGCCTCTCTCCGAGCAGTGGTTGACACCAATGCTGATGCTGTCGCTGTTGCTGGGGCCGAACCAACACCAGCAGCAGCAGAAAGCCCTGCCGCCACACCGACACGAGCAGCGAGCGGCCCCGCGCTGCCGGCAGCGCTGCCACTGCTGGCACTGCTGGCAGGTTCGCTGCTGGCAGGTTCACGGAGGAGGTCTGTAATGCGGTACTGCCGAAGAGTAAACTCACGCATCACATCGATGAAGTCTTGAACAAAGCCTGCTGGGCCAGGTAAAAATGGTGACACTTCGTGACTGGTCATTATAATTGTCAAAGTTTATGTCAATATACCGATTGAAGAGGCTCTGGCCTATAAGCTCGCCATTAGAGCTGCCAGGTACTCCGTCCAGCAAGGACTCTGCTATCGTGTCAAGCAGGCATCGTGGAGGCACGTCTCCAAAACACACATCACGACCTGTTCGCTGCAGCCTACGTGACAGATCTTGTAATTGTACAGCTGGTAGCTCATTAAAACTACATTCGAGACTAAAGGTATGTCTCACAAAACACCGTAATCCTATAACACCCCAAAACCCTAATACCCCTGAACCCAACCCCAACCCCGAGAGGACGATTGTTGAGCTCGGGTGTTAGGTGGCCTTGAGGTTTCTCGCGGCAACTCAGCCAGTGAAGCACATCATCAAGGCGTCCCGCTGCGCGAATACACTCCAGCCTGGGGTCCTAAATTGTGAGAGCGTAACGTATATCTGACAAGTATATCAGAATGATCTTGATGCAGTGCACGAACGCAACTTACACGTCTCTGGCCTTTAACGGCTTCAAACTGTCGGTCCAGAACTGTCCACTGCATTGTCGAGACATCGAACGACAAACCGTGGATCTTCAGCTGGCTCATGATGCATATGTCCCAAACCTCTGACTGACGACGTCATAGACCGGAGGCTCCCGTGGACGGTTACAGCCCCAACTGAAACCCGTTCAACAATTCTGACCTAATGCAGTCTGTGGAACTCCTCCTCGGTACGAAGGTGCTCAGGTAGTGTCATTAGCCGTCTCCCGATGGCCGTCATGAGGGCGCGGGTATCCCTGAAATGAATTTCCATTTCTTGGCCTCACAGCGATTTCAATGTCTGGACTTCAGGCTGTCTGGCTTCGGGACGGAGGTTGCGGACGATGTGGGGCAACACTCTGGGAAGCAAGGGCATGGAGGTACGAGGTTCGAGACACCTACGAGCATGATGCGGTGACGGCTGAACCCCTCGTTTGATGGCATCCAAGTTGCTCGCGAGCTTGTCCAGATATCGGGACAAGAAGATGGGCCGGCGTAGAACCTCGAACTCATGCTGCTCCAGGACCGGATCGGGGTCTTCAAACTTTCCTCCCGTCACGAGCCTCACAACTGTGTCGACGTTGTCAAACTGCAAGGACACCTTCCCGACAGTCAAGTAACGAAGATCGTCTTTCATCCTGGAAAGAAGACTGTGAAGATCGGGGATCTTCAAAGACACGTAAAACTCAAAGGCGCTCGCAAAGTACTGAAAGTCGTTGAGCATCTCGTCATGCTTGCAGAGGTAAACGTTGTAGAAAGTGATGCTCTCGTCTTGTGGTGGAAAGGGGTCCACAGGTTCAGCGGGAAGATCTTCCTAATGCGCGACGGACTGTTCGCGACAGATCGCATGAATGGTCACAACAGTCATGGGTTGAAACCCACGCCCGTTCACCGCGCACCACACTTCATCCTCCAACCTCACCCAAGAAGACACGTCGTCTTCCTGGTCTTCGGCAGTCTCTGGAGCATCTGCCGGCTCCAGCAAAGTCATGTTGCCATCGAAGGACTGCCCATGCCCGGCGAAGAAAAAGAGCAGCTTCGAAGCAGAGGAGCTCGCAGACTTCCATAAAGCTTTCCGGATCTGCGTCTTGGATGCACCATCTTTGCCGACACAGACGATGGGATTGTGGCAAAGTCCGTACTTTCGGACGGTTTCCGCGACGGCTCGGGCTTCTTCTTCGGCATGCCGGACATCCTTCCGGTTCAGGCCCACGACCACAACCGACCAAGGAGACGGGGAAGCCTCCTCCGGATTCGAAGCCTCTTCAACTTCATGCTCTCCTACAAGCGACCACCTGGCTGCTGGTCGCAATTGGGGCTACGGGAGTTCTCGAGTTTCAAGTTTGCGGTTGGGTTGGCAAGCCCTGGACAATTTCCATAGTTCGTAGCTGCATTGGCAAACTACTGCCGACATCTCCTCGTGATAGTGCAGGCCTGAAGGGCCTTTGGTCTATAGAGCCTTGAAGTTGATCTAAATGCAAAGCTCTACAGCACGACCAGTGGTCGACAGGTCCTGTGGCATAAGATCACAAGCGGAGCGTCACCCCTAACCCCGAAGTCTGAGCCAGGGCACGAGTCTGAACATGACATGCGCAGCTGGCATCGGATGGCTGCAGAGCTACCTTAAACCTACCATAACCTACATTCTGGTAGGGTCTTATTCTTATTAGAAACCCTAATCTGGAGATTCTAAGGAACCTACGAAAAGCATAAGATTTGGTGGCTCCAGCCACAATACGACTAGTCCCGGCAGACCTCAGGCGCTGGATATCGAACCCCGAATCTGCCAGGCCCCGAAGCTTGAAACCCTGAAGATCTTGAAGCTGTTGAGCTTTAGATGTATGATGTAACTGCAGGATTCCTTGGTCCCGATATTCATGCTCTTGGGTTTGGCATGCTCGCTTGCAGCACTTATGATGCCACAGACGGCTTAGTACAAGAGACCCCCGAGAACCACTGAGCCCGAACGGCTGAGAGGTGTGAACACGAAGCGGCCTGCGATCGGGAGAGCCGGATGGGGCTTTCATTGCTGACAGCTGTTCTGAAGGGCGTGTTGAGCTCACATGCAACAGCTGAGACTCGCATGCAACAGCTGAGACTACAGAATCGTGTCTTCAGATGCCGACAAATTGAAACACGACGCTCGGTCACCATGACAACAGGCGATGGGCCACTTCCCCTCTGCCCTGCACAGAAGACATGATTCGCACGACCCAAAAAGCCAGTACAGTGCCCCAGCTGTGGATCAACACCAGGCTGCCTATAAGGAGCGATGAAGCATCGGAATCAGAACAAGCGTTCGGATTGAAGCATCACGTGAGTAGCGCCTGCATCGCAACTTGAGCCTTGCTGTGCTTGGCTCTTTGAGGGACCCAGAAAGCGTGGCCTGTGTCGGAGCCCGATCGCGGGCACACAAATCCAGGTGCAACCTGAACCGAACAAGAACCCCCCAATAAAAAAAATCAATGTTGAATCAACTGGCGCTGAACATGCTGAAATTAGGGTCTTTTTTGCCCGATTCCCTTTTGACATTGGCAGGGGTCCGGAAAGGTGGCAGTGGAAGCGCCACATCGCAGAAAAGCGGGAGGGCTTTTCGACACGGGGAGGGGTTCGATCGGAGGGGTCCGGTCAGAAATCTCGCATGCTGGCAACGCACAGAGCAGTGATGCTGAACCGGCCGTCACCAGAGTAAATTCAGAAGATTATTTGTCACCCCAAACCTCAACTTGAGATTCAAAGCCAACTCCCTCCGAATACAGCAGGCTGTGCTTCACTCATGCTTTGGACAACAGACTCAGGTTGTAGTGTTCCGGCATTATAAGGAGTTTGGTTGTTTTAGATCAGGGTTCTTGGCTTCGGAATCGCACTGCATTGGCTATGATGTCTTGGGCTGTTCCGCGAACTTTGATCCTTTAAACGAAAAATAAACCCGAAGCACTCCCCGTCCAAGGACTCGCCGTGGGGGGGGGGGGGGGGCTTGTACTGTGCAAAGTGACCGCTAGCTGTGGCTCCTCTTTAGGGTTTAGACTTGAGGGTTTAAGGTTTAGGAGGTATGCCTCCCTTAGCCCCAGTCCCATTCGCCAAACCTCATGTATGGATCCCCCCGGTGAAGAAAAGCACCGATTCTGAACAGCCCACCCTCTCTGGGGTGGAGGCCGGACACAGGCGCCCTCCATTCAGCAGTTGTTCTGAGAGTAAGGGTCCCTTTTTCAATCCTACTGTTAAGCTTACTGTTGTGTCTTGTAGGCTTTGTTCATCATGTAATGCGATGTTACAAACTATAAGCCCTATGGGGCCCAAGTCTACATTACAGATCTTCTTATTGACGTGAACGCTAAACCCAAGGGGCACAAGTCTAGAGAACAACCCTCTGCATCTCCTTCTTTGCCATGGTGGCTCGGCTCGGGTATGAACCCAGGGAGCTGCTTTGAACCAAGCTCCAGTGCCCCGTCGTTAGAAACGACCCTATAAACCTAAGCCCAAAAGTCTTAAGCCCCTCGTTTCTTCTCTGACTGTTCAATTTCCTGATGCACAGCTTCCGTGTGTCCTGGGCTCCTCAACTGACATCTGAAATACCAGAACACACCGCCCAGCATGTCAAGTCCCCAAGCCTTCCAAAACGTACAGCCGAGAGAAGCCCGAATACGCCGAAAACGCACAATCCCTGGGCCAAAGCCAGTGAGTCGAGCCCCATGGTGGCGGAGACGGGAGGAGCCAACGGAACATGGAGTCCGGGTCGAAAACTTTCATCTTAACACTGACCAGAGCTCAGCTTAACATTTTGCAAGACCCGAGGATAGCTGCATGCTTTTCGTCGTATACGCAGATGTGCTTTCGTTGTCTAACAGCAGAGCTCTAAACACTAAATGACAATGGAACCGCTCAGGTCTTCGGAGCCGGCATCCAGCATCTCGGGAAGACACTCGGCTGCTACCGATGCGATGAGATGGCCGCGGCAGCAGGCACCTTCGATCCGTCGATTGTTGCTGCAACCAGATGCTTCCAAACTCAAATCCACACTTCAAATCCCTAAGCTCGAAGAACTTATAGAATGCTCCGCTGAAATCCGTAAGCCGGTACAACTTCATGCTGTCTTCGCGCGTCTTAAAACCTCGCTTGCGGGGAAACTGTTCGAAGTCGCAGATCTCTTTTTTCGGTTCTCGACTCTCCAGCTCCGCAACACATACTCAGCATGTCAGAGGCATCGAACACCAAGCCTTGAAATCGACAGCACACCACCTTGAAGCTAGAAGTGCCGATAGAATTATGGACAACAGCTTTCTGTATGGGGAGACACCATTTTCAACCCTAAACTCCAAGCCCTTTAGACACAAAACTCTATCTAACTCCCGATGCTTAAACACCTTAGATGCCTTCTGTTTCGGGCCTTTGGGATCCTAATGCTTAGGCCGTTGGCTCCGGCCTTTGCATATGGGTCCCTGGCCTCAGGATAGGTCTCACTACTGCAGTCACAAGTGAACTCCAACTCCCTGAACTTAACCACCAACCAAAACCAAAAAAAGACAGAACACCTAAACCCCAAAACGATATAGCACTAATTAATCTACTACTTACTGTTTCAAGCACCGCTGCAAGCATCAGCTAGGCGCCTTGTGCTGGTAGAGGTTGGAATCAGCCGAGGGCTGCCCGGGGAGTACGTGCCTCGCTGAGCTTCGATAGAATCTGTCCGCAAGAGGAGTTTCGAGCTCAGGGTCTCAAGTACCCGACGGTAAGGTAGACTAGTTTTCGATAGGGTTTGGGAGTTTCGGGGTTCAAGGTTACTACGGGTTTAGGACTTTAAGGGTATTCTAAGGGATTCGTGTAAAATTGTGTTGCCGAGAATGCTCGGAGAGTTCAGAGTTCAGCTCTTGCGGTGATAAGGATTAACAGAATTGCCCAAGCAATGGATCGTCATACGACATATTCTATACTGAACTTAGAACCCCAGCAAAAATTACAATTTTAGCTGTTTCTCAGGGATTATAATAACCCAAAATTTAAAAAACGTTTCTAAGTACCCCTAAGTATTCGCCTGCATGACTATCGGACTTTCGGTCGGGTACCTGGACTTTGAGAAACCACCGTAAAACCCCAAAGCCATACACCTGAAAACCCTCAAACCCTGAACCTCTGAAGCCCCAGTTCAAGGGTTTAGGGTTTAGGGCTTAGGGTTTCTGAGACCCCCTGAAGCCCCAGTTTAAGGGACTTGTCCAAAAGCTTCCCAGCGATTTCCGAGGCACCGATCGGTGGTCGGCTTCGGCCGCTGCAGGCTGGAAACCCTGCAGGGAGACGCGAGAATCCCTCTCTTTCGGGATGCAGGGTGTCTCTTCACGGTTTGGGTTCAAAAGTTTGTGGGGGTTTCGGGATTTGGGTGTGGGGCTTAGCCGGGAGTCAGGGATGTAGGTCGGTCGGGTTCAAGGTCTGCTTCAAACTCCTTGTCACGACAAGGCCCCGATCGCCATCACGGTTTCTCTTGGAGTATCCAGGCGATGTTGCACTTGCATGCGAAAACCTGTATGCCTTAAGAGCCCAGATGCTTTTTTCGAAATCACCCTTAAGTATTGGGATTTATTGCAGATGGCAGGAAGGCCTGCAAGAAGGCGGCTGCAACGGCAAGTTGGCCAGCCTGGCACAAACTTCTGCGACGCAACGGGTGGATCAAAGTTGGGTCACCACAAAAACCTCCAAACCCTGAAGTCTAAACCCTAAAGCCTAAACCCTAAA